GAAACAAAGGTTTTTTATCCGAATATTTCGCACAACGAAGCATTATACACAGTTCGACGTTGAATATGAAATATTAGTTTCACTGCGTCAAATCAAATGGTGACTGAGAGTCATCGAGTGCGAAGGGTTAACACTATTTCCACCGAAGGTGTCAACCTTTAGGAATTTTCATAAAATTATTCTATCGACTTAACTATTCATTCTCCCTCAATTCAATGTCGGACATTCTATGGTCGTCGGAGAACTCAAAAAGCCAATTCAGAATATACATTAATTACTAGAGCAAGCACAGAACGATAGAATTAACCCTTCGCGACGAAGATCGTTGAAAGTATAGGAAACCTTCTGATTCTGCTAAATTAAACATTCAATGCTTAAATCATAGAGAATAATGAAATTGTACTGATTTCTCCCTGTTCGAATAGCTGAGTCATTTGCTTGTAATTTATTATTTATTAATTTATTTTTTAACGCAAAGGGTTAATTAATACCTGAACCTAAAAGTTCCAAAGGATTTCAATACTCCGCTAAGTACATTCCTCAAACTTCTAACAAAACCATATTCTCAAAAAACCATCGATCTCCAAAGCAACAACAGCTGAGTGAAAATCACGTACACAAAACTACAATCCGATAAGGCTGAATAACAATAAAACCATACTTCGAAAGGTCCGATCGAGAAGTAGCTTATTCGGACTACGAGCCCGAACTTTTCAGCCGAAAATTCGGCAGCGTTCTGTATCAAGTCGCTCGCAGGCTGTGCTCGATCCGCAAAACCTCGAGGCCAATACGTATTCCCCTTATCGCGATCGTTCCTGTCGTTTGTAAGGCGATAAAGGGGAGGACGTCGGGGACGGGGGGTGACGGTTCCGGATTAAGCCGATCGCGAGCGGTCGCAAAGAACTCGCGACGAGTATCGGCGGTGCGGGATATCCGGGATAGCACCTCTGCGACTGTCCTCTCCATTCTGTTTCGTTCTTGCGCGGCCGTAATCACGCCCGGTCCCGGTTCCATTCTCCACGACGAAATTCAATGGAACGTGAAGCTGTACGGCTGCCCCGGCACAAAAACTTTCCCGGGGATACATGGTATTGGATGCGTAACGAGGGAACCAGGGTCGAAGTTTTTTGCAGCCGGCGTCGGCTACTCGATTCGTATGTATGGAATTGGTATACGCTCTAGCGAACTTTTCTGTTTTTTCACTCGGTTGAAATTAAGTTGAGCGCCAGTTGTACGGATCGAGGAGGATGGAATACAAATTTTATGGATGTATCTTTTCCGAAATTGCAATCGAGTCGGCGAATGAAGTTCAATCGACAGAGCTCGTAATAAAATCCCTGACAAGGTAGAAGAAGACTTTGCGTCTCTATAATAATTCATAGTCCGGTAACAATGAATTTTCGAAGTTTTTTGCAGCCGGCGTCGACTCCATGATTCATATGTATAGAATTGGTATACGCATACAGAAGTGGTTAATCAGCAGACGAGAGAAAATGATACTATCTAATCCGACTGTTACCACGCGTTGCCATTGCTATCCACTGAAACAATGCTCCAAATTTCCCATGGAGCCACGTTAATAAAGTAAGTTCCGGCCGTCCCCGGTAAACGAACGAAAAGCGCGCCGACGGATATTACACGGCGCAAACGAGCGCGCCGAAAAGTTTCCCGGCGAACGTGTCAGCGGCAGCCGTCGCTCGAAAGTGAAATTTCCATCTAAATGAAAGGATAAATGCACGGCCGAAAGTATCTGCCGATGGGACGGGGAATTGGGAACCGGCGGAGCTTGTTATTTAAGTTGAGCCGCGACGCCGGCCGACTTCCAGGGGAAGAACGGGGTGAAAGTGATCGTCGCTGGGGGTGGCGCTCGTCGCCGCGAAAAATCTGATGAGACGGGCTCTCCTCGTCGCCGGAAATTGGGATCAAAAGTCGACCGTTGAACCCCCCTTACTTACGTGGCCGAGCGAGCCCACGGCGACGCGCGAAACGGCCAGCGCCGATGAGCTTTCCGTCGCGACAGCTTAATTATTTTCAGACGAAGCTTCGTCGCGATAAACGGGTTTATTAATTCTCTTCCTCGTTCCCCCGTGATTGAGAAACTCCGGCCTGCAACGTACATTCCAGTCGATCGAACGGTTTTCCGTACGGTTTTTCGAGCGCGTTCGGATATTATGTTACGGCGGAAGTGGAAGGTCCATGGGGTTCCTCGAAAGCGATTCGATGTCTGGAAATTGAAATTATAGTTTGATGTAGGTTCTCGATTGTGGAAGGACTACTGCGCTTAGGAGATTATAAATTTCTGTGTAATTTGTTGTAATAGCAACTATATTACGAGATCGTGGAAGGACTACTGCGTTTAGAATATTGTAAATTTCTGTGTAATTTGATGGTTGCAAGAGAATCTGTGTTACGAGTCGATCGAAATTTTGGAACATAGGTTACGAGTTTCTATAGGAAGATTTGGAGACGTCAATTTGGAGCTGTTACAGTGACGATTTCTAAGTGTATCGTTAGAAGTGAACTTTAGGCAGGTCGGATGCGGACGGAAATCGAGGATCCCCGCCGACTTCCGCTCTCTTCGAGTCTCTACAGAAATTGAATTCCGTCTGCCGCATTCTCGGTTCGCAATGATGTTTCGACTGGGGGCGTGCTTTCGACTTCGCTGAAAGATGCGCGCATAGTTCGTAATCGTTCGCCATTTCCCTGTTGTCGAACGCATAGGGAAACGGTCGTGTACTGTGGCATTTAGTCGCGCAAATATCTTCCGCCATAAAATTCGCGTGATTTCACTGGTATTCTCATTATTCCTATGCACGCGTCGTGAAGTACATTCTCCGCCTGTTCGTGAATTAAAGAAGAATGCGACGAATGTGAATTTGTTCTCGTTAAAAGTGAAACTGAAGCCGCTCGTTCGGTAATAATCATGTTTGTCGAACAGCTATTTCATTTTCGCGCGCAATTCTCTGTTCTTCGCTGGTAACAGTGATTTACGAGTTGTAAACAGTTCTTAGCAACTTTCGTTTTATTCCCTAAATTACCACGAACGTCGAGGTATTAACACTGAAGTAGAACGTAATTATAATACTTCGTTGCTTCGAAATTGCACGCAATCGAGTCAGCGAATGAAGTTCAACGGATTTCGAATATTTTATACATCGACAGAACTCATAATAAAATCCCTGACAAGGTAGAAGACTTTACAACAATTCACAGTCTGGTAACGACAATTAATTTCCCTCGTGAAATTAGATTGCACGAATGACATTCAATAAATAGTGGAATTACTTTCATCCTCGACAGCGCTCGAACAATTATTCCGCTCGTTTAATCGTTTAATTGCCCGTTGATTAAGGTTATTCCGGTAGAAAGGCGAATCATCGGAAACAAAGGTTGACCAAACGAGAATTTTAATAACCGACCGCTTTGCTGATTAACTGCTCGCGATCGGGGAAACAAACTGAATGTTCCACGTTCGGGATTCCTGCCTCTCGTCGGGAGCATTCTTTGATCCCTTTGTTCGAGCTCGATAGGAGGCGACTCGTCGCGATTGTTTCGAGCTCCCGTTGCCAAGGAAGAGTCGCACAATGAATCCCAAGTGTTCGCGAGCAATAGATACCGCCGCGTCTAATTAATTCTCTTGATTATTCCGAATATATTCGAGCACAGACATTCTTTACCGGTCGACGTTCAATTAAAATATTTCCGCGCTTGAAAAGGTCACCGTAGATTTCTGCAATTAACCTTTTTCTAACTTCCTTTTAAATAGTGGAAAGTTATTTTGTATGTACACGCTGAGAACGTAGAGTACAGCGCACATTTTTTGATTGTTCCATAAAATAAAGTGATCATTTTGATTAGATATGTGTGTAATGTATAACAGTTCCTCTAAAAAACTAACTTCTAAATTTAGTATCGCTCAGAATCACTGTTATCGCTGCAAATCGTGCGAAGGATCTTGATCTCGCGACGTGTCTTCGAAAATCAGATGATTCTTCCAACGTTTAGCATCGCAGGAAATTATCGTCGAGACGTCAACTGCACGTCACGGAATTACAGTTCCGATCATCAAGGATTTCGCTCGATTTCATTCGATTTCATTCGGCGCCGTTCAATTCCATTCGAAGCTCGGTATAAACTGTTTCCTCGCGAGTCGATCCTTCGCGCAGTAAAAGAGGCCATTAAAACGGACGCGGATCAATCGCGTAGTTGCAGCGCGTGGCCGTAGATTTTATCGCGTTGCATCTTGTTACAGAATAAAGCGCGGAATCTCGGGGCGCGCACAATGCTCTGCGGCGCCGAGCGAAACGATATTGTTACAGGTACACCGTGCACTCGAGCGGATATTTCATTCTGCATTCATTTGCACGAGACTGTTATATTACATTTAATAAAAAGAAAAGGTAACGACACGATTCTCTGAAAAGAAATTCTATCGTACCAGTCGGAAAGCTTTTCTAAATAAATCCGAGAGCGTGTAAAAGCTCCGAGCGTCTATCGATCGTTTATTTAGTTAGCAACAGAATCCCCCTGGTCACTCGCGATAGGATGTCCCTCCTTCCAAAGAAAACGTTCGCCCAAAAATCGTTTACTTCGATTCCTCGGTGATACGCGCTCGGTTAAATGTTATCATCCCTTTCACGCGTTGCTTCTGTAGTTCAATTTACGATAGCTCTTGTGTGCTTTGTTGACACAACGAGATGGCCCATGGAACTATTGACAATCCGGTAAATATTGACAGACCGATAAAAATAAGTCAATAAAGAAATCGAAGAGAATGATAATTTGACAAGCTTCTCTGTTCCACGCTAGATTTACCGACATTTTATCCATCGTGAAGATTGAATATTAACACCAGTTAACTGTTTCACGAGTATACACGTAAAGCCTGACATTATACTAATTCTTTCAGCGATGAATTCTTGATTTTTTCACATAAACGTGTAATTCTTTGTTTCTCTCTTTAAAAGTGTGTTCAAAATATGTTCTCTCTTCTGTTGCAGACGGAACAGTTCACCGTCTTGTGGCTGTTGTTCGCGATGATAGTCGTGGGCAACATCGCGGTGCTGATCGGCCTCTTATGGGGCAAGCGGCGGAAAACGCGGATGGACTTTTTCATCAAGCAACTGGCGCTCGCAGGTAACCGACGCCTTCCACGCGTCGACAGGTCTCAAAGATCCGCGCGAAACCGATCGCGACCCATCAATTTTCGCTGCCGGTAGCTCGCGTTCGCGTTATCGCGTTATTCTGGCAGCGTGGAGTTCATCGATAACCCGGATGATCGAATTGTCGAGTGAAGGGTTCTATCCTCCCATGAATTCCATCGGGAATTAGTATCGCGAAAGGCGCGCTCGATGTAGAAGTTGCGTTTCACGCGAATCCTGCTTTCCGGATTTTCTGATGCACCGAGGATATGGACTGATTCTCGTGTACGTTTCGGAATGGATGTATTCGAGTGTGAGAATGGACGTATCGATGAACGAACGCGTGCGATAGACGAACGACGCGCGAGCGCGTTTTGATAAATGTTGAAGGCATTGGAATGTTCTGGATTAAATCGATCTTCTCTAATATTGACTTTTATGTTAACGATGCTCGTTTTTAATGAATCTAGAATATTCCAAATTTACGTGAAGTTGATGTATGCTAATGGAAGAGTGTTCTAGAAAGTGTGCGAGAAATTGAGAGCATCCGAGTGAATAAATATTGTGCCCGGTTTGATTTGGGTTGATTATTTTATTGTTAGTCGCGAAGAAAACATACTGTTTTAATAAAACATTCTCTTTCTGCTACAGTTTTAAATGAAAAATTATAGATGTAGGATGAAACGTGAATTTGAAATGATTGATGAACGCGAGGAGTCATTTTCCACGTGAATTTCGCGTTACATTGGGATTTACAGCGCGCGATGAAGGAATGTATAACGACACGAGATAGAAAAGAGTAATACGAAATTTGTATTCAGTTGATTCGATGCATCGTTGGGGTTAATGAATCGGGAAATTTACATATGAAGCGGATATCCAGTTACCGGGGTATCTGTATCACTCGTTCAAGCGTGGAAATGTCACGCGGCGGCTTCGGGAGAATAAAATAATTAACGAAGCCCTCCGAAAGGGGAGCGGAGCGGCGACTAATTAATAAAAACCGAATGGCGTCTCTATTGAAATCGAAATTAAGTGACCGAGTAATTGAAGTGGCAGAAAGTTTAATTCACCGTTATAACGGCCTGGCTGCGCGCTGCTGCGCCCGATTCACGGCGAGGGTATAGGCACCGGGCTTGATTTAACTACCACTGTGACTAACTTCAATTACCGTATTGTGTCGAACTTCTGACGTGCGCGGTACGGATCGCCGGAATAAGAACAGCGGCATATTTCACTTGATTTTAGCTTTGAAATTGCGAAAGTTAGCGGATTAACAGATTGTCAGGAACTGAATGGCCGAAACTTTAAACGGCCAAATTAACGGATAACGAAGAAGCGAATGGCTGGAGCTTTGAAAAATCGAATGATAGAATTAGGAAGATGTGAATGGTCGAAGCTTTGAAAAACCAAATGATAGAATTACGAGGAACTGATGGCCAGAGCTTTAAAGGGTGAAATTATCGAATTACGAAGAATTGAATGGCCAAAGCTTTGAAAAACCAAATGATAAAATTGCAAAGAACTGAATGACCAAAGCTTTGAAAGTTCAAATTATCGAATTACGAAGAACTGATGGTCAAAGCTTTGAAGAACCAAATGATAGAATTACGAAGAACTGAATGGCCGAAGGTTTAAAAGGTCAAATCATCGAACTACGAAGAACTAAATCGCCAAAGCTTGAAAAGACCAAACGATCGAATTACAAGAAACTAACTGACCAAAACTGTAAAAATCAAATCGTCGGATTATCAGATAATCAAATACAAAATTATTCCCACCAATAGAATTAGTTTTCCCACGAATCCTTCATACTATACAAAATCTAACGAGCATTAACGAAGAAAATGCCGCTGCAAGACGTTGATTGCGCCAAAGGCTCTTTACAACATACATAATCACATAAATCTTGAATTTAGACTGAACTATGGTGTAATCGATATTCGCCTGAGTGCATAACGTCTCGAGACGTCTCGGAACGTTTTCCCTTTGTACATTCCTTTTGTTCCGTGCTCCCGTATAGGGTTTCCCCTGTCGAGTGGAGGCAAAGACGAAGATGCGGTCGTAACTTCGCAATGCTCTTTGCGTCTTACCGCGTTCTCGAAGCGCTCCGCAACCGCTGGCCTCCTCTTGTACATATTCCTCGAATAAAATCTTGCCAGGATTTCTACGGGTAATCCTCGGAAAAATCGCGCAGTCAGCTATTTTTCTTGCTTGCGTTCTTTGTCTACAGTGCCTCTTACTTATCGTATTTCCACGAAGAAACAACAACGAGCCTTGGAAATATTTATGAAACCGTCTAAGACACTGATATCTCCTTTGCCGCTAACGAGCACTCGTTAAAGCGAAGTTGACGTTCAATTTTACAATAGCTGCGCGTTTCATTTGCGTTATTCTTGACGCATTGTCAAACGTTCCTGCGTGAATTAGCAAGTGGCGTGTTGAACTTCGTTTGAATTGAACAATTTTGATGATAATCGATAAAATGATAGTGATTCTTTTAATTACACTGCTAAGAACTGGGATGGTACTGTCCATAGACGATATCTTTTCACTTCAATGAATTGAAAGCGCAAGTGCAGCAAGAGGACATGGAGCACAGTTCGACAGTCTCGTGGAATAAGTGGAATGAGAATGAATGAGACAGACAGTTCTCCGAGCATTCAGGATCGACGCGGGCTTCAAAGCGATGCGTCAAATATAAACATGCAATAAAGCATCAATTTCATTCACTTCGGTCACTTATTTTATTTTCCGAGCGTATCTGTTGCGCAAGAAAGACATATTAATTTAATTACCATTAGTACTATTACTAATTACTATATTTTCAAATTCTTCCATCGCTCCAAAAATAATTTCACTTCGGTTCTCAGTTTATTTAATTTTCAAAATAATTATCAGAGTGCATCAGAAAATCCAACTACATAATCTTCCATCGCTCCAAAAATAACGTCACTTCGATACTCAATTTATTTCAATTTCAAAATAATTATCAGAGTGCATCCGATAATCCAACTACAGAATCTTCCATCGTTCCAAAAATAACGTCACTTCGATACTCAATTTATTTCATGTTCCAAACATTGCTGCAATAGACACACGTTATTTTACCACTATCATTCTCCCTTAAAATTCCAAATAATTAGAATTCATCAGAAACTCCAACTACAGAATCGTCTGTTATTCCAAAAATAACCTCACCTCGGTACCTAAACTTGAGTAACACCTTCCGCGACTCACACGGTCCAGTGTCGCGTGTAAAAAGCAATTCATCCGCGTGAAATGGCAAGGAAACGCGAAACTGTGCCGTCGCGCGTCGGCATCCCCTGCATTCCCGCGATTACACACGGAACGTTGCACCGTTTCGCTTTTTTCTTGGACGTTTCTAACGCTCCTTCCGGCGGGAAAATAACGAGCCCTCCGCCGGACGCGATAAAACGGAAATCGCCGTGGCCCGGGCGCAATACGCTCGCGATATCCTCTTCGTCCGCTCCTCTCCTCGTTCCCTTTCTCGGTTACGCGGTCGGTTCTCCTTGTTTTCTCTCTCATTTGGCCGGATCGATTTTTACGCTGCCCGTTCCTCGCGGGAGCAGCCCGATACATCGGGGCGCGATCGCGCGTTCGATGGATTTTAAGGTCCCTGCACATTATGGCACGTATCGCTGATACAAGTATCGACGCCATGTTTCACGGAACACGGACAGTTTCCAGGCGGCTGCTCGTTATGAGACGTATTGCTGATGCATCGACATCTGCTCTCGAGACTCCTGCGTTTGTTCGAGATATATTCTGTTTCTTTATGTTATTCACGCGTCGTGGTACGTGTCGCTGATAGGTGCATCGGTACCTGGGTTTCACGATTCTATGCATGAGTGGCGATGCAACTTGCATTCGAAGGAAATTGGAGATTTGGGAGTCAGGAGCGTGGGTCCAATGTTCTTTTAGTTTTCTTTTTGGGCAATTTGCAGTGTACGAAGAGTATTATTGAAATTAAGACTGAATTAGAAGAGGAGACATCAGGAAATGAATCGTTAGATCGAGATAAACTGAGAAATCGAAAATGCAGAGGCAAGAGGTGGAAAATTCTTCTAGTCTATCATTCTTTATTATTTCCAATAATCAAAGATTCTGTTATTAAAGACACTCGAATTAGAAGAGAAGACATCAGGAAATTAATCGTTAAATCGAGATAAAATGATGAAATCGAAAATGTAGAAGTAAGCTAAAATTCTAGAGGCAACATTCTTCTAGCCTATCATTCTTTATTATTTTCAAAACCAAAGATCCTATTACTAAAATCAATATTCAAATTAAAAGAGAAATCATTCCGAAACACGTCGGAATTATTTAACGAACAGGTTCCATAGAATCCACTGTCAATGCATGTATCGCCATCGTTATAATACGTAGAAATCCTAAAATTTGCGTTTGCGAATGATTCCTGCCCACTCCACGGTACCAATATATTGCAGAGATGATCAAGGAAGGAACGAAAAAGAGGGAAAGCGTTGAAAGTTGAAGCGTGGCGCGAAATGCCGACGAGTTCGATTAATCCTCGATACGTGGCAGCCTGCAACGCGACGAGATCGATCGCGCAATCTGCGTTATTACCCGCGGACCGATAAGTCCAAATCGAATTTCAATATCGGCGGGAATATACGAGCAAGAGGCGGCCGCGCGAAAGCACGAAGTCCGAAATCACAGGCCGGAAGGTATTTTTTATGGCGGCCGGAACGGCAGTTCCAACGGTCGCAACACTCCACGAGATACCCTCTAAACCGCGTTTTTATGGGCTCCCATCGTCGCGCGGAGAGTCGTGCGGCTCGTCAACTGTGCGTCTTGATACTCTACCCACTGTCGACCTTTTCTGCAGGTTTCTTACTGGAAGCTTCGCATGATGTTCGTTTGCCTGGTTACTGCGAGAAAAGTGTTGGAGTTTCCATAGAGAATTTTCAAGTAGTTTTAGTGTTAAAATGAATACTTAACGATTCGCTGTGTTACGGCACGCTATCCAACTAAAGGTTTCTATTCGACGTCAATTCTTTCGTCGCGATGGTTTCGCAGCAATTTGGAAGCTGCGTTCATCAGCGAGCGCCGCGACAGTCGACACGTTAACGAACGGCCGGGTCGTTCATTCATTCGTGAATTAAGTGGACGCCTCGCGGATACGGTTTAATAATAGCGTCGCGATGAATCATCACGGCGCGCTGCATCGCATATCTTGTTGCAGATTTATTGGTCGGCCTGATATCCGTCCTTACGGATATAATCTGGCGGATGACGGTGACCTGGCACGCGGGCAACGTCGCCTGCAAGCTGATAAGGTTCATGCAAGTTGTCGTTACGTACAGCTCCACCTACGTCCTCGTCGCGCTGTCCATCGACAGGTACGACGCCATCACGCGACCGATGAACTTCACCGGCAGGTGTAAGTACTCAGGCTTCTACGTTAATTAACCTTCGCTTTCTGTTCGCCCACTCGCCGCCTGCATGATTCGGATCAAAAGTAAATTCGTCCTGTTAACCTAGGATAGATTAAACTTCAAGTCTATCCGAAGAAAGAATCTAAGAGTTACTAAATATGAAAGACGCGTTGCTTTTATTGTCAGAAGTATATAAAAAATTGAATCTTCGATGCTTGTATCTTCGAAGATTGATAACTTTCTTAGTCCCGAGTCTTCTCAAGCTTAATAGTTCAAAGAAAAGTTACAGAAGAACTATATAGTAGTAGTTTATCACGCGTTTCGCTAAAAAAATCACGTCACGACAGTGGTTAGTCTAAGCAACTATCAGAAATTGGGAAAACCCGGAATACTGCGCGATTATCTTAGTTTCTCACTTGTTTGTTAAGTTTTGTAAACGTATTTCAACGTTTTACTGTGATTTTTTAGTATTTTACTAACCATTCACGCTTCGCTGATATCTTCAATATTTTAATCGTTTTGTACGAAAAGTGATTGTCTCCTGCTTCTTTACTGTATGATAAACGACGCCATGCTGCACGGATCATTAAGATCCCCCGTTTTCCCCGATCGTCGAGCAGAATTCGGGCTCGCAGCGGTCCGAAACGATCGAGCGCGCCGGGACCGCGCGTCCGCCATTGATTCGCTCGCGACGCTCCCGCGGCAGCGTCGTCTGTTGCAGACCCGGCGACATTTCACCGCGGCAACGGCAATTCCGTTGTCTGTCGGAGATTTTCAGTCGCCCCACTTTTCCCATCGTGCTCCCGAGTATTTACTGCTAGCTGGGAGATCCCTTTCAGCTGCCAGACTGCCAAGAGCGTAACCGTTTTATTCTTATTTTATTCCGTCGAGCTGGGACACTCTCTGTCGGAACGCGTGCGGTAAAGAAACGACGGGGCGCTCGATCGGAAGGTGGAAAACCGTGGCATCAAACGAAAAAGTGCCCTGATCGCGTCAGGATATCAACGAACCACCAGCCACTGACAGTATCCGGTTGGCGTGGTTTTATCGGCTGAATCGAGTGCGATCGTACGAAACCGTTGACACCTAAACGGAGTGCTAAGAACCGTAGTAGCGTAACTATGATCTTAATTGTTTCTTTACCTATTATGATGCATACTTAGTTTAATTCTCTTAATTAGATTTCAATCATTGCGGTACTCGGAAAATAAAATTGTATTACCTTCGTTATTGGAAACTTGAAAAGTCTCTTCCCTGGAATAAACAAGACAAAGTTGATTACTTTATATTGATTCGAATTAAACGTAAGGTATATTCGTTTGGGTCTATCAACTTTGATCATTTACATTGAAATTTGAAGTTAACTTGTTTTGATTGTAGTCCCTGCTGTATGTAGAATAAAGTCTGTCCCTCATCGCGTGTAATTTATTCGGCAAACCAGTAAGCAGAGCACGGTTTTCGGTGTAGCGCGGTGTTGATTTACATTTAATCCCGACAGGAGCTAGCAAGGGATCTAATTTCGCAGTATCTTATTAGCGTGCAGAGCAGTCGAGAATATTACACTCGGCAGCCGTGTGATCTCTTTACAGGGTCGGTCATACTTAACCTCTTAATCGGAAGACGGATAAACTCGTCGCGTCCCTGCATTTCCGAATAATTTCCAGTTCCCTGCTGCTGTAAATGTAACGTGTGTCCCTGGTGAAATAGCACTCGCGCGGATTGCTTCATGTTTAATCATGTTCCCAACGGAAAAGTTCAAAAGTTATGATCGTATTCGAGGGAACGGTGGTATGAAAGGTTGAAATATTCGAAAACAACGCAATATTTACTCTCGATCCGTGTGAAATAGCTCCATGCAAGTAAAATCCACGACTATCAAGACTAGAATTACCAGAAAAATTAGCATTACCCACCTTAGACTTCTCTTTACATTACTAATTACTAAAATTACTAAAATGACTAAAATTACAAAAATTACTAAACTCACTAAAATTAAACTTTAATTACTAAATTTACAAGATCAGACGATTCGATTGCTCAGTAGTTCCAGCGTTAGCACTAGAACTACCAAACTTTTAACACCAATTGCCATATAATCCCCATAAAAATAGCAACAATAGACTATTCCCAACTTCTTCACGCATTCATTATAATATTCAAACGAAACAATTTACTTCCAAGATCATTTCAAGCATTGAATACTCATGTGACATCACTAACTTCTCAACAAAGGAATCGAAACCGGTCGTTTCAACTGATACCTACCTCTACTATTAAACGCGACCAAAGATTTTCGCTACGAACCTCTCTCGAGATAACAAGGCAAGGTGTTAACGGACGATAAGGGGATTCCCGATCGCAGGAAAGCCGCGATCGCGGTTAATAACACGGAGACAAAGGCGCGTCGTTCTATCAAGCCGCAACAACTTCGCGGAAGTTTCTTTATTGCGGCAGCACGCGCATAGCCTGCACTCTCCTCTTCTTATTTTTCTCCATTACCGAGGCAGCTGCCGCGAAACTTCGGCCGAAGAAGCCTCGGGGAAACGGGAAAGTTTCGGGATCCCGGCACCTGCATCTGTTCATTTACCCTCGTAACGGCCGCGATGCACCGCGGATATTCAGGCCGTTTATAAAATTGCCGTCTGCGAAAGCCGATCCGATGGCTGCTTAGATTCGCCGCGAGAAAGAACTTCGAAACTTAAAGTAATACGTTTAGGAACGAATTCGGTGTCTTTCTCAAACGAATTTACCGTTTATTCACCAGTAGAATCATGCGTTTCTCGATGTTTGGGACATTCGATGTCGCTTTCGACGACTTTACGACGAATGAAGAACTCCAGAGTAGAGAAACGTTTGATTCGATGAATAGATACCAATATCATTATAGTGTTACTATATTATAGATAATGAAAGAGTGGATCTCGAGTAATGATGGTATACTTCGGAATAATTAAGTCACGAGTCAATGCGGGCGAGTTCGGAAACGATGAATTGAGAGAGTTAATGTTTCTCTTCTTAGAAATACCTTAACCTACGCTGAAAATTCTAGATACTGCATTTCTGAGTCTAATGAACGACGCTTCGACTGTGATAACAGGGTGGAGAGCGAGGGCACTGGTGGTCGCAGCTTGGAGCCTGTCGGCGCTCTTCAGCATCCCCATTATCTTCCTCTACGAGGAGAAGGCGATACAGGTACTGAACGCTTTATCGACTCTGTGCACTTCGACACATCAGAATCGCGAAATAACCCGCGAGCTTACAATTGAAACCGAATAAACTTTGAAATTTGCATGTAAGAATGACAATCGGAACGAGAGGCGCAGTAGAAATGAAAAACCAACAGGGGAAACGATTCAATCTATTCGTCGTTATTCTTTGATATATACAGTAATCATTCTCGCTAAATACACATCTACGTTTCACGATGATTTTCTTTCTCGTTTCATCAATTCTAAGACTAACTGTTGCCTACGCGATGAGTGAAATATGGAAACAATTCAATCTATTCGTCGTTATTCTTTGATACGTTTCACGATGATTTTCTTTCTCATTTCATAAATTATACGAAAGGTTCAAACTGTTGCCCACGCGATAAGTGAAATCTAGTGAAATATAGTCGCATAATTTCTGTCGCGGGGCTCTCCGTGGAAACGTCTCGGTGGCCGAATAATCGAACGACCGTTGAACGATGGAGCTCGCTGATTGAATTCCCGGGCCGTTCGAGCGGGTCGCTTCGAACCCATATTTTCTCTGAATCTATCGTATTACGAGCATAATCGGGCAGGATCGTTTGCCAGGGGAAGACCCAGTGTTGGATCGAGCTGGGCTCGCCGACGCAGTGGAAGATCTACATGAGCCTGGTCAGCGTTACCCTCTTTATAGCCCCCGCGCTGATAATAGGGGGCTGTTATGCTGTGATCGTAGCTACTATATGGTCGCAGGGAGGGGCGCTACGGCAGGGACCCACCAGGGACACCAGGAGAGCCTCCTCCAGAGGACTCATCCCCCGGGCGAAGGTGAAGACGGTCAAGATGACTCTGGTCATTGTATTCGGTGAGTTCACCGCGTTGAAGAATGCGGGGAAATATATTTCTTTCGCATAGCTTAGCGAAAGAAATGATAATAATGAGATTTTAGAGAACGAAAGTATTTTAATCGCTGTTACTGAATTCAGATCGCGTGAATGTAGCTTGTCGGTGCAAGAGAAAACGAAATATTGAAGGGAGAAGCTGGTGTAAGGTTTAGAAATATATTTATTTCGCATAGCTTAGCAAAAGAAATGATAATAATGAGATTTTAGAGAACGAAAGTATTTTAATCGCTGTTACTGAATTCAGATCGCGTGAATGTAGCTTGTCGGTGCAAGAGAAAACGAAATATCGACGAGACAAGCTGGTGTAAGGTTTAGAAATATATTTCTTTCACGTAGTAAATAATGCAAATAGCGTTGAATTGTTTACGATAATATACTATTGAATTTAGTTAACGTTCGATGGAAACGCGTGAAAACTCGCAGTTCGCTCGGCCGCTCGTCCGATTAGCGCAATTTCTCGTCCCAACGGTTCATTCGCTTAATGTTTATTCAACGATCAATTCGATCCTCGACCGACTCCCTTATACGCGAGCCATTTATTTAACCGCCGTTGCAAATCATTCGTTCCGACACTCGCGACGGGAGCGACGCGCGGAAGGTAAACGAGACGTGTTAAAAACCAATTAAGAAGCGGCGTTATAATATTTAATTACGTTACGGTATCGCTGATAATTGACCTGGATTCTTGGTCGTTCGGTTTCCCTCGGACGCTCGTTACCTGATAATTTCGCTTCTAGCGCGGCGCCGGTTGAGAGGCTTCTCGCGGAGTGAAAAAAGAGCGGTTTTTAAGTCGTCGCGAGATTACGCGGACGAATGCGGAGCGGCCGATAAGCTAATTGGCGTGAAGCGCAAACTAATGTGGCAGGTGCGAGATAAAGAGACGGAACGGAGCTGGAGTGCATTTCGATCGCGCGACGAAGGATTCGGAAATGTCGTTGTGTTCCTCGCGTGAAACTCTTCCTCCTTGTTTGAAACGCTTTGACTCTTTGTCGTGTCGTTACGTCTAGGAGACTAAGAATTCTTCCTTCGATCTTATAAAAATGAGTTTCACTTCGTTGAGCGTGAACTAAAAAAGATCATTCTGCTATTGTCAACGTTTTACCTTCAATTGACGCGTATGGTTTATGATGAACAGATAATTTTCGACATCAGTGACAAGCAAAGTATAATTACCGAAAAACATCTCTATATCGTAGGTTAGATTAATATTAACGTAATTTAACTAACGAACTGAACGTTTTCTGTATTTTGTGAAATCGTTCGGTGTTCGACGTGTTAACAGGAATGTAAACCTAGCAGACATAGTCGCGAGGAAAATCGAACGCAAGGGTTGAATGTTGCACGGGCGCGAATAACAACATCCGTGAAATGCAACCAGATCCAAATGGGTCCGTGAATGAGCCGTTGTGCTCGAAAAATGACTGCTAATGGCCGATCGGGCCGGTAAACGATTAAATGAACGATCGTATTGTACGATGCATCCTTTCAGCGCAGGATGCGGGCGTTTATTGTTGTTTGCGAAGACACGTTCGGCTTTACTCGACGGTTTGCCGGATCCGTCCGCGTATTTTCTGCAACAGCGGTTTAAATCGCGCGTTGCAACTGGGTCGACGGCAACAATGCTTTTGTTGAGGATGTTACGGAGAGCCCGCTGGGGAAGGTGCATTCGAATCGCGCGGGGTGGTTCCCCGTTCTCTCGCGGAGTGCTTTTACAATAAACACTGTGTAATTGCTCGTGAATGTAGTAGGAAGATGCTGGTACGGTGGGTCTTGTTAAACGAGAAGCGGAACGGTAATAATAGACGGGGTATATAGATTTTTAGATGGATTGATAAATATATAGATTTCTAGACAGGTAGATATATTTTTATATAGATTGATAAATAGATAGATTTCTAGACAGATAGATGTATTTTTATATAGATTGATAAATATATAGATTTCTAGACAGGTAGATGTATTTTTATATAGATTGATAAATAGATAGATTTCTAGACAGATAGATTTATTTTTATATAGATTGATAAATAGATAGATTTGTAGACAGGTAGATATATTTTTATATAGATTGATAAATAGATAGATTTCTAGACAGATAGATATATTTTTACATAGATTGATAAATAGATAGATTTCTAGACAGGTAGATATATTTTTATATAGATTTATAAATAGATAGATTTCTAGACAGATAGATTTATTTTTATATAGATTGATAAATAGATAGATTTCTAGACCGATAGATATATTTTTATATAGATTGATAAATAGATAAATTTCTAGACAGATGAATAGACAAGTACACTTTTAAATAGTCAAGTAGATAGCCCAATAGATAGATTTCTAGACAGATAGATATATTCTCATATAGATTGATAAATAGATAAATTTATAAACAGATGAACAGATAGATACACTTTCAAATAGTCAAGTAGATGAACCAATAGATAGATTTCTATATAGATTAATAAACAGATAACTATCTAGACAGATACGTCAATTTCTAAACGAACAAGTAGAAGCAGAAGGCTTTGGGCAGACACGTCGACTGATTTCTATCGAACATTCCAGCACCATTAAAATTCGTTTCTCTCGAAAACAACATTACCGCGCCAAGCACCGTCACCTTTTCATACAGGACAGTCCACTTTCTCAATATAAAATTTCTCTCTTACACTTTGCGGAACAGCTTCAAGATTTTCCTTTCCCTTGCAGTCGTACGGTCATCCCGACGTTACAGACGTCTAATTAATACTTCCATTACCCGAATCAAAGACGTGATTCGGTTTCTGCCCGCGACACCGAATGCCTTATCCATTTGAAAATTTTCCTCGGCGTCAAAGAAAAATAACCGCAGGGAGTTGGTTCGATTGAATCGTGGTCTTGACGCGTTCCGAGCGCGAATCTCTCTCGCTGAACTTAAAAAGATAGAACCCCAGCATCGAGGTCGTCGAAGGACGAGTCTGATTAGTTCCAGTAATGTTTGGCGCACGCGAAACATTTCCCTGGAGAATAATTGGACAACGGTATCGTCCTTTGAGCTGAGACTTCTACTCTTCGGCTGAAATTTCACTTCGACGAATGGCTCAATCCTTCGCGTTCGAAAGTATTCTCACTCGACACTTATTCTAACTCAAGAAAATTATAAACTTCCTCGTAATTCTCTCCCCCACAGGCATTCTTCTTACTCACACTTGCAACAAATTCTCAAGCACACCTCACTCTCACCACCACGTAATCATCCTCGCTTACGCATCCTTCGGAAAACCCATCAACCCTTGGGTCTGATCTCCATGAGTCCCTCTTTTCTATAACTTACACCAGCTTTTATCTTCAATATTTCGTTTTCTCTCGCACCGACAGGCTCTATTTACGCGATCTGAATTCAGTAACAGCGAATAAAATACTTTTGTTCTCCAAAATCTCATTATTATCATTTCTTTTACTAAGCTACGCGAAATAAATATATTTCTAAACCTTACACCAGCTTCTCCTTTCAATATTTCGTTTTCTCTCTACTCACACGATTCTCGTTCGCGTAAAACGAACCCACGAGGACTCTCGCGTAAATCGAGGGTCAGTTGTACTAACTTCTCGCTAGTGACGCGAGGCAAAATCGATTTCACCGAAAGATTCGTGGTACGCCGATAAGAGTGCTCGAGAGGAAGCAGGTTAATATCGAGAATGGCTTTTAGCATTGCCAGCGAACGGTTCTCGACGAAACGCTTCGAGTCGAGACTCGGAGGGTCCGCGTATAATCGAACGAGGGACGCGTACAAGTTCGCGACGGTTCCACGAGCATGGAGGAAACGTCGCGTCGTAAGGTCCCAAAGTTTCCAGACAAGGGAAACCGATGCTCGTAAAGCGTTTGTCTGCCGGCGATCCTTCCCTCGCGCTGGAGAAGCCCACGCACGCGTATCCGACTCGTCGTTAACTTCAACTGCTTCCGGTTATCCATTAGCGACCACCTTAAGCTTCAAGGGCCGGGGATAATAAACTTCCGCCCCGCCCTCCGACGTCCCGCGCAATCAGTCGTTTCGTGGAAAAGTTGTTTGTTCGAGATTGAAGTAACGCGACTTCGGCTTTATAGCGCCTTGTCTCGGGTATTTAGGTCACCGGCTTCGACGTTAATCCGACCTGTTCATTGCTGACGTTGCGTTAATAGAAATATAAATAGAATAACGTGCAGGCAGCTATTTACCTGGGAGAAAGTCGTTTACGGCGCTGTGCTAACTTTAACCCTTTGCACTCGGAAGCTTTTCGCGAGAAACGTTCGATATTTTCGGATGAAACGTAGACATTGTTTGCAATGAACTAATGAGGGAGCATACGTTAATTAAGGGGCAAAGCTATTGTATATAAATATTTCACGATTTACTTTCCATCTGTGATCGACGCAACTCTGTCAGTAACAATTTACCAGAAAAAAATCCTATGCATATTCTATGTCTACGTTTGCCCTACAATACAATAGTTAATGACAGAACAATATTTCCTTTAAATTCAAGCGAATCTAGTCAATTTTATTAAAAATATTCACCACGTGATCGTAAGACAAGAAGTTAAGAAATCTATGAAAAAACATTGGTTCCAAGTTTCAACCATAAATTTTTCGCTAATCTGATCTAATTTGCCTCCGTCTACCCTATATACTCATATATATCGAAGCAAAGTACGCACAATATTTTAATTAAATTCTTCCACTTCCCGTCGTCAACGTACGAGGTTCAATTCGATTAAAATCATAAAGAACCTCTTCCTACGATTTCTTCGGCATAACAAATTCCGATCTGCAAGCTCCGAATACTCCCGTCGACGACAGTAAAAAGACAATCCGACGACGCTTCGTCATTGTCTCGAGGAATTAATTCTCAAGACCGAGTCCGCGTCGTTCCGATGGAGCGCCGTTTACATCGACGACGTCTCGAGCATCGTTTCGCGGGAAGTTCTCGACGTCGCGCGAGAATTCCGGGGGTGAGCGCGGTTACTACCGACGACCGTTTCGCTGGGAACGGTAACGCGGCGGTTCGCCGAGGGCGCGACCGCGCGAACGCGACGGAGGATCCATGAAATCGAATCGTCGACATTCTTCTCCGACTGTTTCAGTGTTTATTCTTTGCTGGAGCCCGTACATAGTGTTCGACCTCCTCCAGGTTTACGGGTACGTGCCCAACACGCAGACCAACACGGCGGTGGCGAGCTTCATTCAGAGCCTGGCGCCTCTGAACTCCGCTGCCAACCCGATCATATACTGTCTCTTCAGCACGTCCTTTTGCAAAACTGTGCGGTGAGTATCCGTTGTCTTCGTTTCCCGTGATACGTCGGTGCATCCCCTGAGTAACCGATTTGAACCCTTTGCACTCGAAAAGTTTGTCGCTAGAGACTTTCAATTTATTTTTATGAGATATTTATGACATTTTTTTAAATTGACTTAACACATTGAGCACCGGCGGCTTAAGAATCATTTAAACGCCGGCTTCATTCGCTTATATCCGATCAATGAGTAGTCAAAAGAAATATTCAAAACATTATACATTTTCGCCGCGTATAAACCATCATCACAGTATTATCAACTTCTCAACTATCTCAGAAACTAAACACCACCGCCCAAATTCTCTAACTTCGAATTTCAAGAATATAACCGTTCTATCCACGAAAAACGCGAGAATCGTCAGCAGTCGGAACGGATACGAGTATAATTCACGTGGGCCGCAATAAAAGAAACCTGGGGAAACTCGATAAAAATCGGCAGTCGGCCTTCCCTAAACAGTCCGGCAGTCAGCTGTGCCCGGCAGCACAATATCGATAAATAACGGCGATAACAGTAAAAACTTTACACCCGAAACCCTGTCGCCGGTGGAACGCGCGCGAGCGCGCGCGTCGTGAGACGTTATAATTGGATTCCCAGCGGGCTTTATAATCGGGTGTCAATAAATAAAGGCGGTAAAGTGTTTATAGCATCTGGAGCGGTGCCGGTTATACAGCAATGTGTGATGATGCGATAGGAGCATGCAGGCGATCTCGTGCGTGTCCGGGTGGTGCGCGACGAATCCTCATCACTGCTTCGGCGCCGGGGGCCCTAACAGCAGCACCAGGACGACGGTCACCACATCCTTGACCGCCCATTCGTCGAGGAGGAGCGGCCACATCGCGGTGCTCCACTCCACGTCCAGGAAACGGGTCATGGTGTCTCTGGTGTAAAACCGGCGCGTCTGCCGGATGCACCGGGAGAAACGACGAGGAAGCTGCGTCGAGTTACGCCGACGTCTTAACACTTCGCCGGCCGCATTTGTCGCGTCGCCGTTAGGTTGGCGCGGGTATGACGCAGAGGCAGCAAAGGAGTTTCAAAGTAATGGAAGCGTCTGCTTGAAAGATTTTAACGAAAGATCTGGTAAATTGGGAAGAACGAAGCAATTGTTTTAAAAATAGCATCGATATGTATTCTTGTATAAGCTGGCGAAAAGAAGTCACTGCACGTGACAGCGGCCGGTGAAGTGTTGACGCTTTGACTGCCACGTTACTGTCTTTCGGAGACTTGGATTGACCCTTGGAACTCCAGGTTGTTTTGTTTATCGGCAATTTTTATGGTATTCTTAGGGAAATGAGAAATAACATTTCTTCGGTCTTCTATTTTCCTTAGTACAAAATTTGGATGTGTGTAGAATCGAATAATTCCTAGTTTCTTTGATTCATTAAAATATTTCATAATAACTGGTGCAATAGTAGAGTCTAGAATTCAAAGGGTTAACACGTTGAATGGGGGTCAACCAAATCGAGTTACTATAGTTCACTGAATAAAACGATGATCATTTTGGTAAATAATATATAGTGTTATTTACAGTTTAGTGGATAGCGGGGGAATTATTCAGAAGAATCCTGATTTCTCAGGTTAATGAGGAAAACTGTTTCGAGTATACGGGAGCTTCGACGAGGGTTTACGTGGCAGTCAAAGCGTTAAAGAACCTCTGCCGGCCATACTCGCGTTGCGTCACGACTTTGTAGCGACTCTTTCTTGATAATGACACTTTTATACGGCACTCGGTGCTCGGAAGTTCTGGTTTATTTCATAGCTCCTTGCTTCTTTTACGGGATCATGTAGCTGGATTTGTATTTTCGGCTGAGACTTTCGGAACTGTGTTTCATTGTAACGAATGATTCACTTGCTCGATCGTTCGAGGAACTTTCACCTTGATGAAGCGAACTCTGGAATTATTGGATCTTTCGGGCTGAACTTTTCGACTGTTAGGTTTCTTGGTGAAGTACGCTCTTGAATTATTGAACGATGAGGTGAATATTTGGACTATTAACCTTCAGCACTCCAGGTTGTTTTGTAATCTATCAGCAGCTGCAACTAATTTTTATAGTATTAGCGAAAATGAGAAATATAACATTTCTTCAATATTTTATTTTCCTTCTTAGTAGAAAATTTGGATGCGTGGAAAATCGAAGAATTTTAGGGTGATTTCTTTAAGATTCATTAAAATATTTAACATTATTCCTGGTGCAATTGGAGCCTACAGAGTTCAAAGGGTTAAGTTTCTTGGTGAACTTTCCAACTGCCAAACTTCTCACTGAAGTATTTCTATCGGAGGAAAAGTGTTAGAAAGTCGTGACGCGACTCGATGGATCGCGATGCTCGTCGATGACACACATGTGCTCTCTTCTTCGTTTAACACTAGGTTTAATATGCGTCAATTTGACGCGTTTTGTAAGCCTAGTGTTAAGTCTATTCTTTCGTTCACTTTCGAGACACCGGCGTACTCGACGATCATCGCGATCGGATAGAATTGTCGTCGACATGGCTCGTCGGTGACCGACGTCGGGAATTCCCGCGAACGCTGTCGCTCTCTTCTTCCACCGAAACATCGAAACGTTACAACGCTGCGAGAAGAACTCGTCCCTGCTCAGTTGTGCCAAAGATTTCCGAGAACCGCGCGAGATCGAACTGGAAGACACCGTCGCGCGAACTGCGACCATTCTCTGGTGTAACTAAGCTGCGGGTATTTACACGGTTCCCAGTTTCCAAACGACAACTCCCGGGATCACTTGGGAAACATATTTCCCTCGAGAGAATTTCAGCGCGTTGACGAGCATCCGTAGCTTAGCTGCGGCAGACGTCGGAAACGCGTAACTTAAGGGTGAACGATTTTAAGTGTGAATAATATAAGTTTTCTATTCCCGCATTTACGTGATCAGTATTCTGGGCCCGATCGTGCGCTGCGGGTGCCTTTCATCTTCCAGCCAATGTTGTCTTTCCAAACAAATTGTTCTATTTATTGCCGTTGTAGCCGGAATCTCTACAAAAGCCGCGCGAGTATCGGCCGGCTCCCTTTTTACCTAATAAAAGAAACTGAGACTTAGAAATAGAATACCTACTCCCTTTCTTCTTTCAATTCAACATTCGATGATCGATATAATTCCATCTTATTCAGCGTGATTCTACATCACTCGAAACATTCTATATCGTAAATAGAATTCCCATGGAATCCTAAATTCTACTCGGAACTTGAATAAACCATCGTACTTCGCCGTAAAAATAGAGTTCAAGAGATAAAAGCTGAACGGAAAGTTTCTCTCCTTGAAAGCTCTCGTTGATCAAAGATCTCTTTCTGCCTGAGAGATCTCTTTGTTCCATTGCCCGACGTTAAAACCGCATCAACGCACTTCATTAAACGAAACTCTCGAAGACCAGAACATCGAATGTCTTGTCGCGACTCGAGCGGAACAGCCTCGCCGTTGCCAGCGCGGGAGTTACTGAACCGAGAAAAGAGGATCGGGACGACGAAAGTATCGAGCGCGAACGCGGCCGCTCGGAATAAATTCCCCGTTAACGAAACGGCGCATTAGGCGTTTCATAAAAATTCAGGAATCCGCGAGGATGGAAGGGACATTAGCGCGGCCATCGATCAGCGGCCCCCGTGGAGGATAATACGCTCAAAGTATACATGTACATATATACATAACACAGCGAATGGACGGCAGCTTCTTGTATATAGTACTTACGTGTAACCATAAATGTGTAATATATTAATGTATTCCATCCGTTGCGATCGTCGCGGACGTGTCTGCCCGCCGGGCCGCGCGATGGATGCGACGATCGGCCGTCTCCGGCGCTGTTAGCGATGGAGCTGATATATCTTAATTAACATGGATCCCGAGACCATCGATCGATCGTCGACAGGTGTTCCGGACATCAAAGCGAAAGTAGAGTACCGTCCCGATAATGAAATTCGGGGAACAAGAAATTTTCAGCGGAATTTTATCGGCGAAGATTGAATAAAATGTACGAGGAATCTGTAGGGAATATTAAGAGATCGATGGATTTATCAAAATTCTCTCGAAACCTTTGAAAGACACAACGTTTGATTGGTTGTTTTTGATTATGTAATATTGTGACGAAGAAGATTGGACAAGCCGCATCGCTAGCAACTCGAGGCGAGTCGAAGCATCCCGCGAACAATCGTCTTTGTACCTCGAAACGATTACAAGTTTCCCCGCCGCGAGCGTCTCTTGAAGAGAAGGAATCTTTTATTCTCGCTAACACGAGAGCTTCTGATGAAACCTTCGGAGCGGATTCTTTCTAACGACCCTCCTGTTGCAGTCTTTAAAAGTTTGCCGCTCGATATTTCATTTGCGGAGAATAACGATCACAGCGGAGCAATATGCGTTTGCGAATGAGATTTGATTCGGTTGTTTGAGCAATTTAGTTTGATAGCTTGTAGGATTATAATGTTTTGTAAAGATGTTAATGAGCATTGCCATTATCGGGCGTGACGAAAGGAGCTGCGTAATCGTTCGGAGGAAGCAGTAGGCAAACTTGTATCCGTAACTCGTCTATTTATTATTTATTGTGAGAGAGAAAGAATTACACGTAGCCCTACGATATTCGTATTTTCACTGGTGAAGATGATATAATTTGTACATACTGTCGAATAAACTCGTCCGTGATGCAAACTGTATACCCGCACCCTGGTCTCACCCGCACCGAAATCCACCTCGGAAGAATTTATAGAGACATGATTCTAGAAACTGGGACAGGACTCGTATTCTCGTTTTATTGCATTCAGTAAGGGGAAAAATAGTCCAGGAAGAAGACAAATGGTTCAAGGGGGCTCTGACTCTTCCCCATTTCGCATTTTATTCAGAGAAAACGGCCCGCTTATGGCTCGCGAATACGCTTCCTTTTTAATACTCGTCGCGCGTCGTACCCCCGTCCGCCATTTTGTCGGCGTCGAAGCTGCGGCCGAGTTTCGTAAAATTTCTATGCTCCTTGAAAGTATTCGCGGTTCCTCAAACTTCCAATCGAAGATCGATGAGTACTCTCTGTCCGCCATCTTGTCGGCGTCGTAAATATGGTCAGGTTTAGTAAAATAAGCTTCTTAAAAATATTCGCGATTTCTGAAATTTCCAATTGAAGAATCGATGAGCACCGTTCATCCGCCATCTTGTCGGCGTCGTAAATATGTTCAGATTTCATAAAGATTTCCTTGAAATACTCGTGATTTCTCAAACGTTCTATCGAAAAACTGACGAGTACCGTCCGTCCGCCATTTTGTCGGCATCGGGATCGCGGTCTAACGTCATAAATTTCCGAAGATTTCAGAAACTGTACGCGACTTCTATTCCCAACTCGAGAAATTGACAAATATCTGCATCGAACGTTCTTCTCGTAGGGATTATTTCGATATCGTTGCCACCGATCTTCTTTTTCAGCGTCTCGGTCTTTTTGCTAAGAAAAGCGCGCGCGGAAGGTTGTCACCGCTGATGAACGGCGCGTACAAATATCACCTTTGAACGCGGACATCCATTTAAATACAGCCGGCCGCGACAAGTGCAGGCATTCGGCCCATAAAGTGTATTCAATTTACAACGTCCACTTCTTCACGACGCATACAATATGTCTCTGTCAGCTGGAAATCGCCGCGAGAACTTTTCATTCCCAGGCGCAGCTGTAGAACGTTATAGCGTGATACAGGGTGTCGCGCGTGAAACAGACCCTTCGAACGTCCTCACTGCAATCGAGCAAATAGCATACGAAAAGTAAAAAACCACAAATGACACGCGACTTATTAACAACCAGCCATTAAACATCTCGAGTGGAATTAAAACGAAACAAGGCGATCATAGGTACAAGACTTTCTTAACTCTGAAGACTATAGAAGCAAACTTATGAAATAAAAGTCAATGCCTCGCTACGATCATTTCACATCATTTACATCGCACAAAAGTAATTCGTAACATCGTCGCAGAAGACGTTTCAGCAGGACACCCAGTAGGTTTCGAAGAGATTTTACACCCGAAACATGAAAGAGAATTAAGGTTCGTTAGTCGTTCCATAAATCCCGTATGTCCAGCACTTTTCATCAGCGATGGCCAATGATTTTCGCGAAAATTTTTTACCCGTCGACATCCTAGCGGAATTACGAACAGCGTCGGGAACACGGCGGGCCGGAATACCGGCGGACACCCTCGAATTCCCGAAAGAGCGGGGTTAAATCAATTTATAGGACGATTTGGCGTTTCATTGGAGCTAATCGCGGCAAGAAAGACCGCCGCTCCTCCACAATCAGGGCTAACGTTCAATTACCGCGTTTGTCTGTCGCGCGGCGGGTAATTGCGTCCCGGCTCCCGCACCCCCGACGTAATCAGCACACAGTTTGTGTGTTAATTCCCGACGAAACGCGGCTCTTCGCGCTTTCTCTTCCGTTTCCTCGGACCGCCCGACTGCTTCGGTGGTTTTCAACGCGTTAACTTCCACGAGAATTTGTAATATTCCGTGTAGTATTATTTATTCTTTCGTTAGCGAAGATAAACGGCGTTAGAAATAGTTGTCGACGCTCTCAATGATTTCTTAAGCTCGGTACGATTGTCGAAATCATTTCGATCAGTTCTCGCGTCACGAGATACGAGCATTGGAAACATTCGAGATATTCCGCGGCTGTCGCAGACATTCATTTTAGACAAAATAAATGAAATTGCGGATCCGCGGCATCCCCTAACTCAGCAACTTCACGCGAGGCTGCACGCATTTTTAATCTCTTTGAGGATGCCGACGCGTTCGCGGGCCGTTTATAAATACCAAGACACTCGCAAAACTCGCGAAGCGAACTGGGGAAAGTGATCAAGCGTCGTCACTTCTTTCTGATGCGTTCGTTGTTCCCTAAGATTAGTAATTCTGAAATCAATCAGAAAATTCATTAGTCTGTACGACTTGCATCGCACCATTTATGGAAAGCGCGAAATCAAATGATCATTATCTAAAAATGATCTAAAAATCTTCATCATTAGTCTCACTCGTCATTGTACGACAAAGGGTTAAACGTTTCTTCCCTGACTTTCGAAATATTCGTTCGTAGAGGCTGTTACTTTCCTAAATTGATCGTTTCATTTCTGAATATTCGTTTGCAGAGATTAAACGTTTCTTCTCCAAATGTCTGAATACTCCGTGAATAACGAACAACATTGATTGTCGTCAAATTAGTCTAAAAACCTTTATTGCTCGTCATTGTACGCCAAGGGGTTGACGCGCGTTCGGTGGCTTATGAGATCGTTCGCAAGGTGGAGGGCACGCACACGTCGAATCATGCGGAAAGAACGGCGCGCGTTCATTTCGCCGGCGATACGGAATACAATTTCGCCGCGTTCCTCTCGCGCGCCGTCCCCTTTTACGGGCCACGCCGCCCGGCCGTAAAATGCAACGGCAGCCGGCGCGGGAAGTCGGACGCCTCCGAGGAACGATCATTTCGGGCATTTCATCGCCGCTTATTTACCGGAACGCCGCCGGCCGGGGCGATCCGTCAACGGACACCCGGAATTAATTCTAATCCAGCCCCCGCATTCCCCGACGGCTTTTATTTCCGCGCGGAAATCCCCATTTTCGGCCGGACGGATCCTCGCGGAATGCCTCTCGGAGCTAACGGAGATGAATGTCCCCCGGAATCCTGAGGGTTAGAGTCACGCGGATAAAATATTGTTGATAGAATCAGTTGGCGATGATGTGGATCGCTGAGATATTAACCCCGTAAAGAGAAACTGTGTTTGTTTTGTTTGTTTTTACATGTTTGTCTCAAAAAATAAGTCACGTTGAAAATGGCGTCACCCGAATTCAGGTGACGCGTAATCAAACCGATAGTCGCGTTGGACAGAAGAGAGACGAAGATCGATTCTAGGACAATGCGAGATAATTTCAGAGAGACGGAGAGACAGTTCTCGTTGCTTCGTATCGAGAGCAACGCCGATATTATGTGAGCGTCGAGCGAGGAATAATCTCTGCTGGCCCAGGTCGTGGAGGACCTGTTGATCCCGGGTTCGTTGCTAAGATCGATGTCCCCGGATTAACGGCGCGAGAGGACGTCGACGCGCAGCCGAAGAAATAGGTTCCAGGATCGCAGGATGTCGTGCGTGCACCATCAATCCTCGAACCCTTCGAGGGAGAGGTGCCATTACGAGGGCCAATACAATCGTTGCGCGCACCTCCCTCGTTCGCCGATCACTCGACCGGCGGATGCTTATCGAGCTGGTGAGTCTATGCAAATATCCTGCTTATCCTCGCTGATTAACGCTGCATTTACCCGTCGATTCGACGGATATTGAATTCTTTAACCGATTGCACTGCGAAGACTCCTCTCACTCGATTTACAGAAAAATTATCGGGTATATTCGATGTTAAGAGATGTTCATATTTGGAATACTAAGCGAACGAATGATTTTATTACTCGAATAGCAAGAGAACAGTATAGTTTCCTTTATTTCTACTGTTTAAGCATTCGATGTATAATTTATCTTCTTATGTTGCTAGCTTTGTGTACTTTAAAGAGTCATCGTCCGCAAAGGGTTAAGTTTCGTGTGATGCATTAATATGTGAAATATTATAATAAAATAGCTTCTTTCTGTAATTTGTATACGATCTCTCGTGAAGCTAGTGACTATATTTCATCAGAAAGTGTGTTGGGTATTTTTAGTAGAAAATTCCTAGAGTGCAAAGGAAGTAATTAATCATTATTTGGTAATACTCCGGTTTCGAAGCTACAATTTTCAAGAAAGAGAACGGGTTAAATTTAATTTAAACTTAAAGTTTCTTATGTAACTGGAAGACAAACTATGAAAAACACTGGTAAACCTCATCCAGTATTAACGACCAGCCGCTCGGCTTGTCTTCCCCGGCCAACAAGTTAATTATTAAGTAGCATTTCCAAGAGTTAAGTCGATCAGGATTCACGGTACCAAGTTACGTTCCGTGTACTTTGAATTTCAGGATACTGCGCCGGATGGAGGCCGCTAGAACAGCAAGCAAACAACTTCGACACTTCTGCAGCAGGTAAATCGAAGCTCTAGTGTTCCGTTGATTTTTATTCTATCGTGACAACCGTCAAAACTGAAATTCATTGGCATCGTGGACCTTTCATGGTCTGGCTCGATTTTTCATTTTTGTGAGCGTCATAAAAATCTGAAAAAATTCTGAGACACTCTCTATAGTCTTTAATTCAATTTACAATCGACGCTTTAGACAAATCTTCATTTAATTTTGCAATACGAACTGTAAATCGCGTCGAGGTCGTCGAGAAATGAGATTCTCGACAGACCTTTCATGCTCTAGCTCGATTTTTCATTTTTGTGAACGTCATAAAAATCTGAAAAAATTCTGAGACACTCACTGTAGTCCTTACTTCAATTTACAATCGACGCTTTAGACAAATCTTCATTTAATTTTGCAATACGAACTGTAAATCGCGGCGAGGTCGTCGAGAAATGAGATTCTCGACAGACCTTTAATGGCGCGCGTTGCCAATTGAGGGTTAATTAATGAATAAAATTGAAACCGAGCAGCGAGAGGAGATCCAGCATTCTTCGACTCGCGAATGGAAGCGGAAAGAGCCACGGTATTCAGACAGGAACCAGCGAGATCCGTGGATCCCCTGGTCGAGAAGATGCAAGCGAAACTGAAATTCCTCGAGGATAGCAATGTCGTGATGCAAACGCGTAATCAAACTCTGGTCGCCGAGAACAAAGCCCTCTTGTCTCGGTGAGTATTAACGTACCAACAATAATCAATCTTGATTAATAAGCGAGTCACTTAACCTTTAGCAAGGTATACTGGGAGGATCATTTCTCAGGGATAACTGAAATCGATAAGGGTTGTCGAGTGTGCTATTAATCTTTCTGGGAAACCTAAAGAAATATTCTTGGTAGTACTTAACGTATCATTTGTCAGTTGTGAAATAAGCAGCATTATAGAATATATAATAATAATAATAATGAGGGATACATTAAAGACAATAAAGGACATACATTAAGACTCTTCAATTCAAGCTTGAATTCTGAATATTTCGACTATAGCTCAAAAAAGAATGAAATAAAATGAGAACCAATGATGTCACTTCTTTCCTGGATTATTAACAATGATTAACATCATTTGTTACAAGAATTAAAATCGAGAATTATCAAACATCGAAGAAATAAAGCGTCGAGCGTTTAAAATTTCCAGTCCTTTTGCAGGCGACCGATGATTAAACGTTGCCCACGCGAAGTCTATCAATTTGCTACGATTAAATATTCTCCCGACAGAATAGACGCAGAACGCAGGGAAACGAAGTGCCTCGAGGAGAGGCTGTCGTCTCTAAGCGCGGAACTCGATATGGAGAAGCTTCGACTGCTGGAGACGAGGGAAGCCGCGGAGCAAGTTGGTCCAGAAAACTTGTTGCATGATTAACTCGAGGCCAACAATGAAATTTCGCTAATTCCAGAACAAGAACACGCCGAGCGTCGAAGCGAACGGAACATCCACGACGAATATTATCTCGAAACTCGACCGGGGCGTGCAAATTTGGGCGGTGTGCACCGGATGCCAGAGGAAATTGGAGAGCTGCGAGAAACTACCCCCTACCGTCACCATCACCAAGTATTCAAACATTCTGAAAACCTAGATTAACTCTATTTTTTTGTTTACTGCAGTTATACCGTTTTCTAAGTAATTTAGAGCAATTCGAGTAATTTTTGCTTTTTGTCTATTAACCCCTTGCCCTATGATTTACTTTTCACCTGTGATCGACGCAACTTCGTCAGTAATAATTTACCAGAAAAAGAATCCTATGCATATTCTATGTCTACGTTTACCCTACAATACAACAATTAACGACAGAATAATATTTTATTCGAATTCAAGCGAATTCTTGATCAGTAATCATTTTTGTCAGTAGTAATTCCAGTGTTAAAGCTCCTTTCTTCCGTTTCGTTGCTCTTTCCTAATTGCCCTCGGCCAGATCGGAATTGGAAGTGTTGGAGAAGGACATGCAAACCCTCCGTGACACTATAATTGCCAGAGAGGAGGCGTGGGACAAAGCGATGGAACGCGAGCAAAATTACAGGCAACAATTAACTCGATTAACCACGGAGACGATCACAGCCCGCCACCTGTCCGAGACGCGTCACGAAGAGCTGCAATCTGCGACGAAAACTCTGACGGTAAATACGAGCAAATAAAATATCCCCACGGGACATCGTTCGTAATTATTTTCGCCGATCAACGAAGAAACGGTTCTCCGCTATTAAATCTTCGACGTTGAAATCTGGAACGGAACTCTCCCTTTTCGGTAAAAAACGAAGCGAAAGTTAATTACTAGTTTTAACACTAGAACTACCGTACCAGTCAAAATGTTTCGATTTTTTTATTTAGCAATTATTGATTGCTAAATAAGCATTGATTCTTCGAAATGATTTTGAAAATAGTTTCATTTCAGTACTATAATGAATGTCTGAAGAAACTGAAAATAATCTATTGTCACAGTTTTCATGGGAATCGCATATTAATCGTATTAAATGCTCGGTAGTTCTAGTGTTAAAGAATAAGTACTACATATTACCTTCGTTATTAACGATAAATAATTGTAACAAAAGCAAGATTGTAACAAGATTTCTTTGTAATTCCAATTTCGATCGCGACAAAGTAACGTCCGAGGTAGCAAAACCGACGGAGGGGAAATGATCCTAGTAACTGCGACTAGTTCCCCGTAAGAGAAACTTCTGAACGACTGCGGACGACAAGGCGATTAACGGTGTTCGAGTCCGAGACCTTTAATCGGAACGATGTTTTCGAGTTGCCCTCGACGAACGGCGAGAACGGGGGGAAAAACGGTGCAGTGAATTCCCTGCGATCTCTATTTGCGTACGCGAACCGTTTTTTCGCTTTGAAAGAAACACTGGGGCTCAAAGGGGTCTGCGTTTCGTTGCAGGAGAAGGAATCGGAATTGAAGTCGCTGCAAAAGGACAACCTGTACTTGAAGAAGCTAATAACGAAGCTGTACAACAGCCAGCACAGGTAAAAGAACCAGACGACGTAATTAACCTCTTGCCCTGTGACTCATATCTGAACAATCGATAGAACTACCCGCTACAGCGTTCCAAATTGATTGCGTGAATTGCTTTTCTAAAGACATGACTGTGTATTGATTCGTATTAAAAAGGTGAAATACAATATAAAACTATATAAAACTATATAAAACTATGTATAGTAGGCTAGTTTCTTTGATTCATTAAAATATTTGATATTATAACTGGTGCAATATTGGAGCCTACAGAGTTCAAAGGGTTAATAATTCATTGAACAAAGAGAGAATTCTAGGGACGTCCTAGATCGTTTGCTCTAAAGTACAATTAATAACAGAAGAGTAATATTCAATTTGAATTCAAAAGAATTTAACGAAGTTTAAATTTAGCTAAGAATTAAAGACTTTTATAAATTATATTAAACGATGTCGTAACTATGTTTATATTTTACAACGTTGAGTTATCGATTGATTGATAATTAAATTATTAATAATTGAATATTATTATTATTAATTGAATAGATAAGAATTCGATGATTACTCTGTATCCATGTTTACCCTAAAGATTGATGTTTTATAATACGCGAGTAATATGTGATTGATATAAAATTGACAAATAAGTAACATTTAGATCAGCCGAGTTTGATGGAAAATTTTCATCGCGAGTCTGACGTAACGTCACAGGGGAAGGGGTTAATCGTTCCGTGTAATTCCGACGAAAAAACTCTGATTCCGTGTACCACTCGCGACAGAGGAATTAAATCCGGCGGAGGATATCCCCAGCAACCGTGTGCCCGATTTTTCCGGAGCTCCACGGTTAAAAACTTTCTTTGTAATCGATAATTAGATCTATACAGTTTACGCGCGAGCGAAACAATGCAGGCAGGTTCGTTTTACACGAAGGTCGCCGGAGATCCTTCTTTTGTCCCGTATCTCCCGAGGGAACAATGGGCCAAGGGAAAATTCGCTGCGACAACGTTCTAAATTCTTTAATTAGATCGTTCAAAAAAGTTCCCCGCTTATTTAAAATTACTAATAACAAAGCTAACAAACCGCAGACTCTGAATTTCGAGGTTGTAAAATATAGGTTTAATTGTGTTGTATTATTGAACTCTTTTCCCTAGAGAAGAGACTTTCAGTTGCCATTCGACGCAGCAGAATTGCAAAATTAGATATTCAATAAGAAATTTTGCTGTTAAAATTTCTGTTAGCTTTGAAATACCGTTCATATTTCGTTAGAAAATGGCATATACTGTGAACATTTATCGAGTGCAAAGGATAAATTGAGCTGTGGTATCATTGTTGCGTGTTTATCTTGCAGATCATCGTATTAAGTTGCACTGTTTGCAATATAGAAGCTTCCAAATAATAGTCGTTTAATTAAGCGAATTGTAGTAATTCCATTTGGTCACCGGTGATTTCTGCGGCATTCCAAAACCAAAATTTGTGGTTTGCAAAGGATAAATTGCGCTGTGTTATCATTGTTGCATATCTATCTTGCAAAAGATCACCGTATTAAATTGCATTGTTCGCAATATAGAAGCTTCCAAATAATAATCGTTTAATTAAGCGAATTGCAGTAATTCCATTAGGTGACCGGTGATTTCCGCAGGATTTCACGTGTTAAATGCTCGATGATTAATCTTTATTTCCGAACTGACGGCGCATTTGAAGCACTTTCCGGCGAAAGGCGACAAAGCCGGGAAAGAGGGAAGAATTGGGCGCGCAGGGAGGACCTATTAGAGCGGATAATTAGATAAATCAAGACTCTTGTTCGTTAAGAGTCTCGACGGGGTTCCCGCGAAGCTTCCCAAGTATGAGGGAAAAGAGGGATCGCCGGATCGCAGCGGAGCTTCCCATTTTTTGCCCGAAAATGGGCTATGCTCGTCGCATTTTAGTCGTTTCATTAACGGAACGCCCGGCGTAATGTTACGCCAAGAATGTCCGTTCAAATTTCGTGCAACGAGACGCGAGAGCTAGACACGAAGCGTTCACGGACCTCTAAACTAACTCCGCTTCCCGAGGTTCCTCGAATTTTGCTACTGGAGCAATTAAACGGTTCTTTACGTGTGTAATTTAACGTCGGAACTACCGGACGAGTGAAATTCGCCCGTTCCAGAGTGATTTTTCGAGCGTTTAAATTCTGACGACGGTTTCTCGAGAGATAGTGAAAGAAATTCTAATAAATCGTATAAAGAATTGATTATGATTATTCTGTAGAGGAAAAACTTCGAATAAAAGAATTCTAGAATCTGTAAAAACTGCTCGAGCTGTTCGAGGAACCGTTAAAATAGTATTGTTTATTGAAATATAAGACAGAAATAGTGAAAAAGGTAGTTATACGTTACAGTGTGGTTTACGATGATGAGTGTCAACGAAGTTTGTCGATTGATGCATGTCGACCAAAATTTCCCATGATTCTCCGAGTAATTTCCTTCGATTTCCAGTTACAAGTGTCAAGACGAGCAGCAGAGGAACAGCTTCGGGGCGGAGATAAACGAGAGAGATCAAAGATTCATCGAAGAGATCGCGAAACGAACGTTGAGCGGGAAGAGCAGGCAAAAGTCGAAGCAGAAGAGCTCCTGTCCGGAGAGAAGCCCGAATCATGGCAGTCATCAGGCCAGTCCTCGCGAGAGGAGCGCGAGAACGACGAGAGACCAAGCTGGCTCGCTGAAAGAGTCGAAACGTTGAAAATTCAGAGACGATTCAAGGAAAACTTGGTGTTACCCTGCTAAGAGTTCCGCCATATTGAAACGAAAGAAGAATCTCGACGAAATGTGTTAAATTGTTCTTGTACTGAGCTGTAGACGATCGGATTTGTAAATAAAATCCTCAAACCATGTGTCACGCTGCATTACGTTAATCAATTTGAGATTTTACTTGAAATTTCAGTGAAATAAATAATATTCTTTTTATTACATGATTTCACTGAGCTTCTAATTCAAAACACGAATTTTCTCAATTTCTGTTTCTGTGGAGTTAACTGCGGTGGTTTCTGAGCGACTCTATGAAAATTACGAATTTGTTTGTAAAATACTGTAGTTCATAGAGAACGTTTAAAAACTACTTTTTCCACACGATCGGTATTTCAGATCATCGGATATCAAGTTACCGACGAGAGATAGGATAGAGTAACATCGTCTGAGCCTCCGTGGCTGATGAAAAATGATTTCAAAAATGCAGTATCGGAGTGATGAAATAAAAAGGCAATCGCAAAGAATTCTCGCAAACTCTATCTGAAAGGGACTTATATGGAAAATTTCAGTGCCATGCAGTTCGTCAGACTTTCGCTTACGTTCTCTACAAATTCTGATAATGAATTTAAGGAATATATTCTTAGAAGGAAATTTACCTTGTAAAACATTCAAGTTTTCTCTGAAAATTTCAAGACCTTAACTTTATAGATGCAATCTTCGAAAAACAAAGTACAGTGGCTAGTGTCTCGAGATTCTCGATCGGTAACCTGCGAGCATCGATTCGATTGCGATTTGAAACGCTCGCGGAACGTACAAAGCGAACACGTTTCGTTAGAAAATGACAGTAGAACCGAAGAATGAAATAAAACCAAAACAGATTCCTGGAATCCGGTTAAACCTGAAAAATGTCAGAGGTAGAATTCATTTAAATTTGAAATCCGCATGAGAATAAGTCGGAGAAACGGCGAAGCGCGAGGCAAGAGCGATACGCCGGTCGATCGACGGATATCGAACGGGGAAAAAACAAACGGAGCATCATAGGGTCCGTTGCGCAATCGCAACGCACCGTAAGAGAAGCGTAACGACCGCGGCTGGTATCTGTCGTACGATTCGTTACGTTCGCGCGTGAAAGGCGAGCAGCGAACACCAAACAACGCGCGGCGCGTCAGCGCGTACAGAGGCGGGTGAAAAGGGTATCTGCCAGCCACAACATCGGTCGGTCTTGATAAAATCGAATCGACGACAGCGGAGCGCATCGCGACGCTCCTTTCCCGCGCTGCAGCTTCCCACGCGGCGCATCCACGCACACTCTCGAGAATGTTCCGCTTCGTTGGAAGCAAATGAAACGTCGCATGAAAGAGAAACGAGGCGCGACGCGTCTCGCCGCGATAAACCGTCCAATATCGATCATTCAACCGATTTTTGCGTCTGCGAACGATACAGCCTCTCCAGACCGTCCAGCGTTCGAAGCCGGAAATAGGTAGACGTATCTTTCAGGTGCGCGGGTCGATGCAGCGAAAGAAACCGGTGAACTCCGTTGAAACGTCGAGTTTCAACTCGAATTCGAGAAATCTCTGATAACATCGGATAAAGTAACGTTAAGAGGAAGGGGATCGACGCAGGATTTCTCGCGACGAGAAGTCCGCGATCCCCGGCTGACGAGACGATTCCGAGAGTGTCCTAAGTTTGGTAGCGAACTAGGGTCATCGCGCGGCGAGGTTATCGATGGATCCAGGAAAGGTGGGGAGATCTCTGTACGTCGTCGACGTACTCCACGGTCCTCGGTAAATCGACGAAACGACGGGCAAGCGATCGGACCGGAGTCGAGCGTCGCGCGTTCGCGAACGATGATTGAATGATTTGATGATTGGATGATTTGAACGTACCGGTCGGTTCGTGGACACGGTCAGAGACGAGGAAACGGAGAAACGTGGAAACGAAGGAGCGCGTGCACCGCGAACGATCGAAGACGAGAGTGCTGCCGGAGCCGATCCATCCCTTGCAACCGAGGCTCGAAGGGTGTCGGAAGTTCGCGATCGGCCCCGCGCCTCGCCGGACGATGGAAACGAAGAGCTGGCTGCGGGCGATGCGGAGATGCTTCAACGGGACCAGGAAGAGACGGCTGCTGTGGCTGTACGGGCTGGCGTCTGTCGCCAGCCTCGTCACGTTCGTCGCGTTTTGGTGCACCAGTGTGTTTCGGGACGCGATTCTGTCGAACCTGGAGCTGCGGAACGGCACCCCCTCGTTCCTGCTGTGGCAGCGACCGCCGGTCGGCCTCGTGTTCCGCGTGCACGTCTTCAATTACACGAATCTGAGGGAGTTCGAGAGCGGCCACGCCGACAAGCTTCGCGTTCAGGAAGTCGGCCCCCTCGTCTACCGGGAGACGCTGAATCGAGTGAATCCGCGGCTCCACGAGAACGGGACGATCACCTATCAGGAGAAACGGAGCTTCGAATGGATCTCCGGGGTGTCCGAGGATCAGGTCGTCGTCGTGCCCAATGTGCTGCTCATGTCTACGCTGGCTTACTCTAGGAACCTGCCGTTCGCCTTGGGGATCGGTATAGCCATACTCCTGTCGAGTCTGCACGCGAAACCCTTCCTAGAGCTGCCCGTAGGCGAATTACTCTGGGGCTACGAGGACAAGCTGTTCAACACGATGAAACCGTTAGCTTCGTTCAGACACCACGTCCCCTTCGAGAAGTTTGGGCTTCTCGCATTCGTACGTATACTGTCGAAACGTTCAACTTTTCGTCGATTTTTTTTGTTTCATTCTTTGTCTGTCTGTCCGTATAGTTGTCCAATATTACTACCATTCATTCAACTATCCGGTTGTCTATTTCCCTTTCTATCTAGATGATTGCACATTACTTCGTTACTGCTGTCGACATCACAGTATACTTGCTGTCGAAACGTTCAACTTCTCGTCCATTTTTTTTTTCATTCTTTGTCTGTTCGTATAGTTGTCCAATCATCGAACCATTCATCCTACCATTCATTCAACTATCCACTTGTCTATTTACCTTTCTATCTGGATGATTGCACACTATTTCGTTATCGGGGATTCTGCATTGCCGGAGGTTTCGCTGCCGAGAGAGACCAGCGGCAAGAGGAGTCTCCCGCCGTGTTTTGTTTACGGCGTTGATTAATTATCGTGCGATTGCACCGACGAATAGCACATTAGTATTAAAAACGCATGCGAGAACAGGCGTTCCGCTCCGACCAATTACACACGCATTCCTTTCGAATGCCAATTCGCCGACAACGCAGGATACGCCTACCTACTTACCTAATTATTCTAAGTAGCCGTTAACCCATTCGCCGCCAATTGCGAATATACCCGTGGTTAGGAAAGCGTGTATGATCGCCGACGCGGGTATCTCCGTTATACTCTAAATGCGTCTGGACGTAAAGCGAAATGAATTGAAAGTACGAATGAAACCGCGTACTGTACGCTGGCAACGGATGCGTCCGGAGATTCGTCATTGTTACGAAACAATAAGTAATATATAGAAAGCACAAAATTCTCATGAAAGCGAACGTGTTCGTTGCGATGGGAATGAAAATCCGGTTAAAACAGAAACCGTTCCAGCATGTTCGCATCACTCGCGCATAATCGTCGTGCGACGGTGAAACCGAACGAAGCACGCATCAAAATTCGAAACTGCTTACTAGCGACATGCACTTATCTGTCAATTTATCGATCCCGGAAGTCTCGGATAGATCAAGGTCTAGGAAAACTCTCGTAATCGGTCCGCGCACGTTGGTTTCAGAGAAACGGCGTGAACGACGACCGTATCACGGTGTACACGGGGATGAACGATCTGCGGAACATCGGGCTGATCGAGCGAGTGAACGGTATGCGGGATCGCAAGATCTGGGGAGACGAGAGGTGCGACGCCGTGTACGGCAGCGATGGAAGCATGTTCCCACCGCACTGGATCGACCAACCCCGCGACACCGAGCTCCGAGTCTACGCGAAAGACGTCTGCCGACAACTGCCCTTTCGATACGACCGCCGCGACTCTTCGAACGGCATTCCTACCTTCAGGTGAGACTCCTTCATTGTTCCTCCAATCGAAATAAATCTCCGACTTATACTTCACGAAGACTTGAAGATCGTCTTCGGTTCTCGAAACAGTAAAGATCATACCGAACGATTACGAAGAACCGAATCCAGGTCTACTCGATGTATCTTCGGTTCAACCACTGCGTGAACCGTCGGTTTCCATTTGATTCGCGCAATGCTCGAGAATAATCTTCGATAAAACAATAGATTCGATTTGCAATAACGTTACATCGTCGAACGGAGTCTCCGAAACTAGCTCGAGATCGCGGTCACGCGTGGGAGACGTCATTCCGAGTGGTTGAACAGTTTGCAGAAGTGCGTCTAGCCCAGGTTTTTCGAATCAATGACTCGCCCTATCCCCGTAGGTACAATTTACCGACCGACATTTTTTCGACCAACGACGAGAACTCCTGCTACTGCTCGAAGGAGTCGGCCGACTCCGCTACCAGAAGATGCCCGCCGATGGGGACGTTCAACGTTTCCGCCTGCAAATTCGGCGCCCCGATAATGATGTCGTACCCCCACTTTTACTCGGCCGACAAGTCGCTGTTCGAGGACATCGACGGTTTAAATCCTGTACGCAAACACAGCGAGAGTTACATTCATCTCCATCAGGTACTGGTCCGATCTTCTCGTTCTGTCTCTTTGTTTCCCGGTTCTTTCCCGGTTCTCGCGCGACAATTCTACGTGTTCCGGATTTTCAAAGGACATTCAACGATTTCAGACATTAGGCGTGACACTGGCAGCCAGAATCAAGATGCAGATGAACGTGGAGGTGCGCAAGGCGTCGCCGATACCGTTTTTGGACCGCTTGAAAGACGGCGCCATTTTACCGTTAATCTGGACGGACTCCGAAGTCGAGGAGCTGCCCGAGTCCCTGCAGCGAGTGTTGTACCGAGGACACTATCTCGTGAACGCCATCGAAGCCGGGTTTCAATGGTGCAGCCTGGTCGGCGTTGTTCTTTCGTTCGGCGCCTTGGTCGCCGTGCTGAACAAGGAGAAGCGCGGGAAACTCGACGGGAAACTCGACGGGAAACTCGACGGGAAACTCGACTCGCTGGGAGACCACCGATCAGTCGTCCGCACAGAGGTTGCCGCAACGTGAACCGACCGTCCGTGTCGCGTTTCCTCGTTCGCCTCGGTTTCAGCAACGCCCCCGACGCGTGGGAGTACTGGACGCGTGTGCGTCGCGACGAAACTGTTGAAAAAAAACGTGCCGAAACTACTTTGCGTTTGTTGTTCTAACCGTTTCACGGCTCTTAGCGCAGATAGGTACCCCTTTCAGTGGCTGTGGGAGCACGGGTTTCGTCGGCGCGATGGAAGCGTGCGACTTGCTTTCACTGGCGCGACGTCGATATCGTTTCTCGTTTGTCCGGTAACGTGAGAGCTCGGTATGCGATTCACCCGGCGACAGCGGTCGCCAACGCCGCTTCATCGATCGCGTTCGGATTCGCGCAAATGAATCGCGATAACGCGGCGGCGACCAGACGTTTATCGAGGAACGATCTCGACGGCCGGCGATCGATCTCGCGCACGAACGCGAGGCGAGCGTCGAGTCGCGATCCATTTTCCTGGAAACACGATAACCGAGGTCGCATCGCGGAACATCTTCCGCAAACCGAGATAACTGGATCACTTTTCCATTTTTTTTCTCCCGCAGCGTTTATCGTGCGCAACGAATGCAGACGCTGCAAAAAACGCCGACCTCCGTCCGGAGCGTCGACGGGGAACGTTCGATCGCGCGAGCGATCCGACCTCGCGGGACCAACGCGAGCGTGTACCACTCTTAGAAAATTTTTATTCATTTCCACCGAATCGCTGGGAACCGGCGCGAGCTCGGTCCCGAAAACCATGTTCGCTGTACAAAACTAAATTTACCTAAGAACCTAACCGCAAATCCATCCAGAGTAACGATTTTAAAACGAGATACGCATACTAGTAACCGATAATGAATAACAATAGGGCCGCGATCGTCGCGGGACGCGTCGAAACGCGAGCGCGCACGATCGGATATATACAATGCATACGTGTAAACGCGAGCCGTGTCGCACGCGTTCAATGGACGGAATGATTTCGTTGGCTGTTTCTACGTACGGTACACCATTTGCCCTAATGACGAGGATCAACGATCCGGAAGCCTGTTCCAGATTCGCTTTTTCAACTTTTTCCGCGCGCCGTTCCGCCGACACGCGACCGTTCTGTCTCTGTTCCTCTTCCTCCGTCTCCCTCCTCCTCCTCCTCCTCCTCCTCCTCCTCCGAATGGTACAGTTCACGAACCACGGAGACGTTCCCGATCGAATCGCGCGGAGAGTCTCCGGGACGGACGATCGGTATCGTAGGTTCGAGCGTGGTGAGCGATGTGTGTCGAGAACACGGAGTCCTTGAAAACGGTGAGCCGAATACCGTTACGCGGCGCGACCTAACAGTCTCCAGTGGTCTAGCGTCTCCTCCCAGCCGCGCTTCGCCGTAACGTATCGTACCGAGTCGAACCGGACCGTCCATTTGGACTCGTACGAACGTATACATATATGTATATATATATATATACATATACATACATATATATACATATATACATACATTTAGATATATATATATATATACGTTCAAACGTGTCCGAAGATTCGCGTTTACTCTCCCCTCGTCCATGTTCCCTCCGCCTCCCGTCCCTCGACCGCTTTCTTCCTCCATCTCGGAGCCGGCTCGAATCGACGATGGAACAAGAAAGCGTGCGAGCGAGCGAGCGAGCGAGCGTGCACCAAAAGTTAACGTAGTCTATATGTCGAATGTTCATTCACGTCGGGGTTGAAGAGTGCGCGCAGCCCTGCGCGCACCGGTCGACGGAGAATCCGATGTCTAGGAAGTCAAGGAGCCGGAACCCGCCGATCTACTTGGAACCCGAGGAATTCTGGAAAGCCGGATTCAGCTGACCGGTTTTCCCGCCACTGGCGTTCGACGGTAACGGATTGCTGAGGTGCAGTTTCTCTTGGCGCTTCGCGGCACGCGCCAGGCAGACGAGCGCGCCGATCAGGACGATCGCGCCGATCGCGGCGAGCGCCCCGGACACCGCCGACCGGGCGATCGGCGGCACGTCCACCGCCATCTTCATCAGGCTCCGCATTTCCACGGGCAGCTCCTCGATCCCCTGCGAACCGTCAACGACACGCGTCATCTCGATTCGTCGTCCGGTCGACGATCGGTTTCGCGGTCCTTCTCATACTCACGTCCTCGAACCACATGATGGGGAACACTATATCCGGAAACGTGGCGACCTGCTTGATGTCCCGCACCTGGCTGACCGCCAGATTGATTTGAATTCTCGCCTTCGCTCGCAGCGAAGTGCCCATCATCGGCTGGACGTCGATGTAGAACTGATGCTTCTCCTCGATGGGTGCCGATATTCCGTTCACGGCTGTGCGTAGCGTGGGATCCGCTGTAACAGTTGCAAACCGGGTTTTCAGTAGTTGCCCACCGTTGACACGGTAGTCCGTTGTAGGGTCCGAAGATCGGTGCTGCGTCTTACCGAGGTAGAAGTGCGGGAAGCTAAGCAAAACCGGCGATTCGTATTGACACAGAGAAGCGTTGAAGGTTCCCTCTGGCGCGCACGGTGGCCCGGCCGGGCAGAAGCATTGCTGCGACTCCACTCTGCTGGGAGAGGCGAACGCGTCCTTCGAAGGGACGAATCTGTATCCGGGAACTCCGCCGGCGGTAGTCACCTCCTCCTAGAAAGAGAGACAGTTGGTCTCTAATTGGTTAAGGACCTAGCGGAGATCCTACGCGTTCGCTACCATCAGAAAAATACTAGCGCCAGTATGCTAACGATTGATGTTCTTACAATTAAAGACGAATATTTTTCGAAAAGCATCTTTTCGCGACTATTAGCTGTAACGATGATCAATACTTCGATGGTAGCGAACGTTAACCCAGATCTCTGGTTTCCAATCTCCACTTTGGTCTCGCATCTCTGATTTTAGATCGGCGATTACCTTGAACACAAGAGGCAAAGTCCTGCAGAGATCCTTGTCGAAGACTTTCAGCACCGTCTGTTTGGTGATGCGCGGTGGAAAAATGCTGCCATCGCTGCCAGCGATGCTGTCGCATTCCGGAGTGGTCCAGTGGCCGAGACTGCCCTTTCCGTTCCATTTGTCGAGGACGCCGTACTTGGAAATGTCCCCTTGTCCGGTGAAGATCGTGAACCAGTCGGGCATCGTGGTATTCTTGCCGTACATCAGGCCGAATTGGTCGTACGGCAGCTTCTGCTCCTTCGGCACGACATCCTTGGCCAACTTGAGCAACGGATCCTCGTAGCCCCAAAGCAGCTGCCCGATCGACACCTCGACGAACGGCTTTATCCGGAGAATGTCCATTATCGATGCCATCGCCAATCTGAGGAAACGCGCCGCGTGTTTCGACTGGCTGGTCGCCGACAGCATCGGCACGTTCGGGACCACCACCAGATCTTCCTCCGAGCCGATCGACTTCTCCTGCAACCATCGCGACCAGCGTGTTTTCAATTCACCGGCCGTTCGTTCCGCGAAAGCCTCTGATACTCTACGAAACACAACGATACGCCACGGGATTCTACGAAACGCTTCCTTCGATTCACTTCGCCCGCGAGCCTGCGGCACGTGCGGTTTGTCATTCTTCGGGTTCAGACTCTGAGATTCTTTGTAATGCTACGAACTTCCGCGAGATCTTGTAGCATTTACGGAAATTTTACGGAATCCTAAAATTCTAAGACAGTCTACGAAAGTCGGAAATCCTACGAAGATTCACAGATTTTCAGAAGAATCTACGAAATCCTACGAAGTTCCACAGGTTTTCAGAGAATTCTACAAAACTCCGAGCGCCCATAGGTATTTCCATTCTCCCCCCGTCCATTCCTCCGTCTGTCCCGATCAATGCGGCCCGATTCGTTTCGCGGTTTCGAAAACAGCCGAGATATTCTTCCACGTACCGCGGATGCGCGTGTAGGTATTCTCGACGATGCGAGCGGCGATATTATTCGAGCGAGCCACATTGTTCTCCCGTATAACAATACCGACAATTGTGAGAATCGAGGTGTCGTGCGTGTCCCGGGGAAACGTGCCACGTTGGCCAAACGCTAGTCGCACACCTTTGCTTTTAATTCACGGAAGCGCGTTGCTCCGCTATTACGATCTTACTCAACCCGACTATCGTTACCTAGCGGCGTTGCGTCATTCCGCGCGACCCGACTTACTCTCGAGACTTTTACAAGAAACCACGGCGCTACATTCCCCACCATCCTCCTGCCTCCCCCCGCCGCCCTCCACCTTCGCGATCATCTGTCCCCTTCTGACTTTCCCGTTTCCTTTTCCCGATCATCTCCTTGCTACTCTGTTTCCCTTTTCACGTTCCCCGTTTTCGCGAGACAAGCCGTGACGACGGAACACCGCTGCTAATGGAGAATCCGAAGCAACTCGATGTTTTCAGGATGGTAGAACCACCAGCTAGGCACGCGGAAAAATACATGTGTCGTTAGATGAAAAAAGTGATACAGGAAAATGAGTTACTATCGATCGACGCTGTTGCATATGTATTGCATTGTTCAAGTTCCATTGTGTACCAGTACTGAGTAAATGAATTCGAATTATTTCGTAGAGCTTGACACCCTCCGATTCTTAAGTCTCGGGAATCTGAAGATCGACGCGAATCTCCGAGATTTCCGAGACTTCGAGATCTTTGAACCATACAAGGATTTCATGTCGGAGACTACTGAAAGTGATTCTTGTTCTTCGCGGCGAGTACACGCGACAAACGACTCAAAGCCTTCGCAACCCATCGCTAAACGTCGCTGCCATCTTGTCGGCGGCCGCTGGGACCGGAAGACGACGGGAGAAAGGAGAAAGAACGCTTACCGGCGAAAAGGCGAACCGTTTCTTCACTTTGTACGACACGGTGTCATTCTCGTTGAATTTCACCTCGACCTTTTCCCAGTGCTGCACGTACACGTAGGGGCCGAGCTCCTTCAGCGTCGGTTTCTCGCCGTCGTTCAAGAATTCATCGGCGTTCGTCACGTTGTAGATGTACACGCTCAGCTGAGGTGTCACGGGCGGTTCCCTCCACCAATCGAACGTGCGGCCACCCTCGCGCAGAGCTATCTCTCTGTTCAGCAGCACGTCGACCAGCTTCGGGAACACCGCTGCCAAAATCGCTGACACTATTATCAGCAACGCCCCGACAGCCACTGCTGCCCCTGAAATCACATCAAACTGGTGTTGTAAAATGGGATGCGTGTCTTGAGCCTTGAAAGCCACGGTCGCGACTCGAATCTTCGAAACTGTAGAGCCTTTAAGCTCAAAGATTCCAGTCTTCAGAACTATAGTGTCTTTAAACTCAAAGACTCAAGCCTTCAGATCTAAAGTCCTTAAACTCGAAGACTAGAACTCTCAACTCTAAAAGTTGAAGTCTTCAAAGCTCGAGTCTTTAAACTCAAAGACTTGAATCTTCAGAACTATAGTGTCTTTAAACTTAAAAACTCGAGCCTTCAGAACTAGAGTCCTTAAACTCGAAGACTCAAACTCTCAGGTCTAAAAGTTGAAGTCTTCAAAGCTCGAGTCTTTAAACTCGAAGACTCAATCCATCTGTTGCTATGTTAACACCGCAAAGCTGATGCCTAGACCACTTGATATCCCTTGAAAACTGAACGATAAGTTTAAAATATCCAGTGCTAAGTTAATATAGCAACCCATAGATCGAGTCTTCGACAGTCTCCAAAGACTCGAGCGTTGAAAGCTGTCACGTCTCAGTTCGTGCATTCAAGATTCAGCCTTGAAGCTTCGAATACCCGAGCGACTTACAACATCAGATCAAACGCGAATTCGTAAGGTTCACGGTTGCATTCGCGGGATTCACGGAGCGCGCCGTTCCGTCGAAACTGATCGCCAAAGCGAGAAAAGAAAGTCGATCCCCACTCGCGGCCCGAAAACGCCTTTGCTTTCTATCGTGTCGCGTTTGCTCGTCATTAGGAACGATCCTTGCTATCTGTTATTCGCATTTCCCTGGCCGCGTACTCGTAACTTGGCACTCGGTTTTCATTGAGCAGCTTCGGCCACCGACCCGATCGCATCGGAAACGTAAACCGATTTCGCCCCTTTCTACTAGTATTTTCTATGATCAAGCAAACGTTTATCTTCAAGAAATTTAACTACATTATTCTCGATGCTCTCAATAGTAGAGAACCATTTCCTTGAACCTCCTCAAAATGTTGCTTGCCAGACAAAATCGTCAACGTTACACATTTAAGTCGAGCAACGGCCTCATTCATTCCGCTGAACTAATCAAATTCCTAAATGTTTACGTCCCACTGTATCTGTTTAGATTCCCCGACTTCTGGCATCCTCAGACATTCGCGTTTAGGCTCGCTCGTATAAATACCATCAACAGGATATGCAAGTTAAGTAATACCTTGAGTAACAGCGTTCGCTATTTTTCAAGCTCGGTTAATACTCTCGAGAAAGCTGTCTATAACACTCGAACAGACAGCCGTACCCTAATCGTTAGAAACCATATGATCCTTCAGTCGCCTGGTTCGTAGAAACGATGACTACCTACACATTTATCTCTACGCTTATGTAAAAGAGTTTCACTCATACGTCTGTTAAATAAATCAATTTATTCCCAAGACTCGTAACGTTCTGAATCATCGCTTACCGTTCATCGGAGGTCTGTTTAGCTTCTGTTACTCTAAATTAACCGATTTCCCGCAAAACGTCACTCGCAAGCGTCCGAAGCTTTTCTATACCGCGAGAGATGTTCATAAGGTATCGATACCTCGACATTTCCGAAGTTTCCGTCGCGCAACCGATCGGCCGCGACCGTGCGATGTCGCGCGAGTCGAGCTACGATGGCAACGACGATTCGGCCGGTTAATTTTTCAGTCACGTAGTTGAAAAGGCACGTACACGTCACCGCGCGTGTCGACCTTCGAAAGAAGCGGTCCTACTTTTCCACGTCTCCCCGCGATACTTTGAACCGCGACTTAGGACGCGAGGCCTCTCGATTTAATCCTTCCGATCGACGCGATCGAGCCGTGAACCGTCGCGTCGCAATTCCGCGACAATAACGGTCCCCGACTCGTTTCACCGGCGACGCGACGCAACCAGGCAAAACCAGGCAGAACTGTTACGGACAGAACGAACGTCGACGTAAAAATCCGATCGAGCAACTCGCGATTTAATGTTCCATCGCGAAACGACCGGATATCGCGACTGTCCCGAGCTTTTCGGGCAAATCGACGCACCCGTGCACCCGTAAGACCCCTCAGACTCCCACGAACCCGCGGATCAGACCGTTAATTAATCCCATGCTATTCAAATCAGTGTCATACGACACCTACAATTACTGTCTCGCGAGCGCAATGATTTCGTTCGGTATTACTGAAATCAGCGCTCTTGGATACTCCAAATCCACGCACAAAAGAAACCGTGCAATTGAAGCGCCGCCTTTTAAAAGAATAACCCAATTAGTCTCTGTTGTGGATTCAAGTAATCCCTGAGCGATTACATAAGGATTATCAATTCCCTCATACATTTGTATGTTTACCGAGAACAATCGTATGCTGGTGGAGTTCTAATAATAGTTCTAATAATAATCTCCTCTTTCCGCGAACTCGCTAGGCATTGCCGACGAAAATTCTCAACCACCCAGTTAAGTGTTAACCTTTGCTCAACTACATGGCGATTGCTTAAGCAATAAAAAAGGAGACTACGTACTGATCTCTCGCTGTTTGAGTAATCGTTTCTCTGCTACGTAATGTTCCAACTATGAACATTTGAAGTGTCGATCTCCCTCCGCAAAGGATCGATAATTCGGTCGTCGCGATTCCTATATTGGAAGCTGATTTAGGGGTTACTTCCGTCGAAGAGGGGAAATTTCCTGCCGATCGAACGAACGGGGCGTCGCATGAAAAATGCGAGGCACGACGCGGCGACCCACGGACGTCACCGACTCGACCTTACAAAATCCCTCGAGCCGATGTCGCGACCTCGACGAGACCAGCGCTTTCCAGCGGACGCGACGCGTCTAACGAACGAACGGAACGAAGACGGACTGCTTTGTTTTCCGCCGTGTCGCCCGGAGGAATTCTGTCCTCGTAATCGTCCGGTGGTCCGACCATGGAGCCCGACGTTGTTACGTTTGGTAGCGGCTAATGCGAAAGAAATTGATCGAAACGACCGCGTCGGGGATTACGAAAGCTGTCGCGCGATCGATTGTCTCGAAGGTGTCGCAAGGAATGCGAGGGAGCGCGAGTCCCGCATATGCAAACATCGCGCGGCGCGTTGCCGTCGTCGACGTCGGCCGATGTGGAAACTCGCGGGCGACGGGACCGACGCCGATTTCTCGACGTCGTGCAACGTCGACCGACCCGACGGTCGCCCCGCGAATTCGCATCGTCGGCGTCTTACTGTAACGCGTCGCTACGCAACGCATCGAATCGAAATTTTGCCGTAACTGATATTTGGAGATATTCGTATTTACTTCTGCGAGGCGTCGTGTTTTGTTATAGTTTCTGTGTACTTATTGTATTGTAGTAGACTTTAGTTTGCTATGTTGTACTATCCTACATTCCATTGTTCTACACTGCACTGTACGTTTAATATTAATCGGGAAGTAAACAACTGACGTTGAATACAAGTGTTCAACAGCGCGAGTAACTAGATAATAGTGCGACGTAAGATTTGTAGCACCGAGTAATTGAGTCGCTCGGAAGCCAGCGCGGTTAAGTGAGGAAAAGAAAAATTGAGAAGATTAACGTTTCAGTTTCTGAAACGATCGCACAGCGTACGCTGAAGCTATAGAGGGAAGGGATTCTGGAACAAACGAAGAAACGAGTTAATCCTTGAACAACTAAAAGGAATGTTGTTTGTTCCATTCGAAAATCGACTGAACGCGTTGGTTTCTGACTCGATTAATAATCAATATTGTTTATCTTCGCTGTGACAGATCAAGCGACACGCGAAACGCTCAAGATTCCCGCGAAAGGAGCTTGTTTTCCCTGTTGACGCTCCCGAAACAGGAATAACACCGACGAAGTCATCAATTAGAGAACAAACATCGGGGTCCTTATGATTTTTTAAGAAACCAGACTCGCGAGCGACGGATGCGTAACGCGAAAACACGAAAGTCCGCGCTGCGAACCAATAGACCGAGCTGGAGCTGTGTGTTTGCAAAGAAAGAAAGGTGGTGGCCGCGGATGGAGATTTGAACGGCCGCACGTCACGTTTGTCCTTGAGTAAGAATCGATTCAATGGAGAGAATTCGAATGGGAAATGTAGCTATTCGCGGCGTGGAAATATACGGGAAAACATCTTCGTCTGCTCTGTGCATCTCCGAAGTAAATCAAGGAGCAGACGCAATTCGGTTACATTGGAAGTGAAACTGTTATTGTGACATCGGCCTCGGCGACATCGCTCGTTTCGAGTATTACCGACAATATCGACGATATCCTCGGTGAAATCGACGATTCGAAGATAAATAAAAGTCCCCCGAACAACTGCATCCCTGTTACTACTTCCAAAAACTTTGAATTAAACGTTCACGAGGTTTCTCTGGCTACATTCCGATAGACCATTAGCCGCAATGCAATTTTCATGTTTCTATCATACGCGTGTAATTAGCTTCGATTTTCCTTTCATGTTTTCGCTGAAAGATCTCAGGCGTTTGCACGAATAAACTCAATGGAATTAACACGCTCACTCCAGCGCTGTGAGTTACTTTTTCCCATCTGTTAGTTGAGTTCTCGAAACCAATGAAAATATTGAAATGATTAATAAATTAATTTCCTAGTATTGCAATGTTTTCGAATTACCAAATCATTTGACGAACTATATATCTAATGGTACACGCTGTCTAATGTGACACGAGAATATGAGCCATCTATGGTACACCATCTGATGCGATATTTTACTACGAACCACCGGCGGTGCGCGCCAGCGTAAACATGCTAAGCTGAAAATTGAAATCGCGATGAGCTAGAAGAAACTTCGCGGTGAGCAGCGCGCATTCAGAGCGGCGCACTTTCCTAGCGTCCTTATTCTCACAGTTGTCCCAACGGCGAGATGCCTGTATTACCGCCGTCACGAGCAGCCCGGAATCCTCTCTTCTTCCCACCGATCGGCCGATCGAATCGTGTAACCAGACCGTATCGCGCACCGCGCCGTTTCGACAACGGAAACGAGAATTCGACGAGTCAAGGATAACCGACGTGCGCACGGCTTCGAAAGTGGAAGCGGGGACCACCTCCGTAGTGCGCTGGCATGTAAACGATCGATTTCGAGAACGGCTACGATCGGCTAGATCGAGTTGCCGAAATCGCTCGTAGGGTACGTGCGCGGTTTCGACTAATATCGCGAGTTGCTGACAAGACGGAAGATATCTCTTGCAATGAATACATTAACCTGACTCTTGATAGTCACTGTCAAGCGTTAGAAGCATCATAATAAAATTGATCGATTGATCGACGTCACCCGTCTATCACTGCGGATCTTCGTGCAAATTCCCAAGAATACAATTAAGAAATTGAATCAACGCAGAGAGTGTTTCGTAAAGCTACTAAAAGTACACTCTAGATATTTCATAGATTTCTATGCACAAGCTTGACAATGCTTTCGAGTAGCTATTCTCACCGTTTCAAAGAGCAGCCCGCGATAGGTTCGCTCTGAAATGGAAACCCAGCTTCACACGACCGTGCTCGATACGCAACTCCGTATCTTTATTTCAGCGGTGAGCGTAAAGGTAATCCGCGTGCGGAAGAACTGGCGAGCGGGTGAAAGCGCGGTACCGCGAGCCATCCAGCCAAAGATCCAGTTAAAAATCCAGCCGGTGCAATGGTACCGGCCGACCGTCCTATCGTGCAACAAGTTACTACGACGTTTTACGCGTGTCCCGTAGCCAACCGCATCCGAGATCGAGTCGGTTCGCACGCGTTGCGGCGCGAAATCTCGACGGGAATGGAATTTTTCGCCGCAACGCGTCTAGTCGCCGGCGCGAGCGACGGACCGACCTGTTCCACGGCACCACGACACGTTCAACGGTCCCCGTTATCGGTGATTGGGCACAGCTCGCGGGCACGGGATCGAGAAACAGGGAAGAACGGTCCACGAATCGAACGGCCGCCTGTTCCCTGCGTCCTGTTTGATATTCCGGAGTTTGCGCACCCCTCGACAAACGTTCGCCGCTGCGAGAGAATTTTATGCGTTTTATATAATATTACTTTCGTACCGCGGCACTTGCGTCACACTGTTATCTAATTACTTATGGCATTAAGTATTCCTATTCGATATCGTTTTACTCGTTTTCATTGTTCCCGAGCAACTTCTAGGCTGCAGCGGTCGGTGTCAGTCAACGCGCTAATCGGCAGGAATGCCATCGAACGCACGAGCGATACCGCGCGGCTACCGTCTCTTGTCTCTTCGAGCAAACCGCACTCGAACGAAAACCCGACACCGCGGCTCGCCGCCGCGACGCATTCTTTCCGTTTGTTTCCGTTTCCCTAGTTTTCTCTTTTCTTCCTACTTTGTTTCTAGTTTGACTCCTTGAAAGTCCTTTGAAAGTATGATTTCTTTATCAGAATCGAGTATTAACCCTTTGCGATCGAAGATTCTTTGAAATGTAGTAAATCTTCAATAGAAGCTAAATTATATATTGATTGCTTGAATAACAGCAAAAACAGAAACATGCTAATCTCTCGCTGTCCGAGTAATTCAATCATCTGCCTGCGAATTAGTCTTCCAAATTTGAGCGTTTCATCTCGACAATGTCGACATTCGTATGCAAAGGGTTAAAGAAACGCAGGAATAGAAACTCGTCTACCGACAGTCTGTCGTGCATGTCTCTTTGAAGATTATCGGGAAAAATACAGTGGATAAATGATGATCCGCGATCATCGTCGTTAACCGACGCACCGCGGTTCGAGCAGCGATCCCGAAAAGCAAACCTATGTACTTACGTACATCTACCTACGCGTACTTGTCGGCAATTACTCGCTATTATATAAGGCTACGCTTCCTGCTCTTACTCGGAAAGCTTCGCGCCTACCAAATGAACCAGCACCGCGCTCGTTCGAGGGAACGAAACTAGTCCGGACGGTGCCAACGTCTTTTTTGCCGTTTGAAACGGTTTCCAGTTTTTCCGAAGACATCTCTGTCGTGTTTCTCGACGGAGCGCGACTCGCCCGAAGGATTAGTCGTCGTTGCCCGACTCGCTCGCCTCGAGTATTAGAAAACCAACAACGCGTTACGTTGCAACCTCGCCGCGAGTTCCTACCTGCTCCGAGCGAGGCAGCGATGAAATGTTGCGTAACTGGCCCATCAACGCCAGAAAAAAACCTAATAATGATCCCGGAATCATAACTATCTTCCTGCACGATCGTTTCTTGTGAATAGTGGTATCAAAGTTCGCTTTCTGACGCGCGAGCACACGCGACATCGGCCGTGCCGTTTCTTTATTCATTCCGGTGCCAGTTACATATTTCGTCCCCGCGGCGATCTGTCCGGCAGACAGCCTTCGGCCGCCCATTTCGCGGACGCTTCTCCAACACCTGTCGCCCGCTCCTTGAAAAATAGCTTCGTACGATTCCATTGACACGTGGCGACACCCAGCCACGAGCGCAGAGGACGTTCCCGAGATTATAAAACCCGTCGAAGGAGATCCACGTGGACGGATCGATCGAAAGCGCAGAACGAGAACGTATTATCTGATTCCCATTCAGCGGCAGGTGCGCCCGATAAATTACCATCGCATTTATCTCGTAAACCGAGCGTCGCGTATGTCGTATGCGTCATACGAGGAGAAAAAAAAGCTAGCTTTCCACGTGGAATAATCGGCTCGCGCCGCGATTTTTCGGGGACTTCTCTAAGATTCTCGGCGGCGCGGTTCGAGGCTCGCACGCACGAAAGAGAAAGAAGTCGCGCTACGTTCCCGTTCGCATTCCCGTTCGCATTCCCGTTCGAGTTTGCGTTCGAGTTTACGTTCGCGTTCGCGGGCTCCGAGTGAAAGTAAGAAAGACCCTGGTTTACGACGGTCGCTCGCGCGTTTTCGACGCGCGGATAAGTCCCCTCGCGATCGGTGCAGCGGCGTTGCAACGCCGACGCCGGCCTCGTAACTCGTTTTCCATAGAGCGGCGGCGACGACGACGCTCGCCGTCTCTATGCGAAGCGCATCCCGACGCATCGCGAAGTCGCGACACATTTCGTAGCCGGCCAGCGAGCGCACACGCGGTGACTCATCGGGCGAGCATATGAAACGACACGTTCATCGAATCGAATTAAGAGCGCATCGAGCGTGACCGTCGTGGCGCCGGTAACCGCGTTAACAACATCGTTAACCAACGTTACCCCCGAACGATGATCGGCCGTGCGCGGTACGAGCGCTCCGTACGCCTCCGTTCCATCGGCTCCATTACTTACACCATCGCCTGAGAAATCCCCCTTGGAGTTTCGCGCAAATCCCACGGTGTACCCTCATCTTGATCGGTCACCGCGTACACGCGTCGGCAAGCTCTCCGCTGGATCCGTTCTCTCCTTCCCCACGGACGCGTGTCGCTTCTTCTTTCGTTTAAACGACTTCACGTTCCTCTCGCTTCCTCCTGCTTTCTTCTTTCTTCTTCCTTCGTTTAACCTGCTTGACCTCTATTGACTCTTCCTTCCTA